ATGAAATTATAAAAGACCAGCAATACATGTTTGGGATATTTGGGACAGGCTAGTAGTTTGCATAAACATAAACCGTCATAATATATTATGAAATATGATAGTGTTTTCTTATAAGAAATAAAGGTGGATGGATGTGGATATAAAAATGAAATGGAATAGCATGTAGCCTATAGAAAACACTTAAGGAAAAGAAGATGGAATTAGTGTGGATATGTTAAATGCTAACGTTTCATTAGCATTCACAGAGAAAAAAACATTTGTATCAAAAAATGACAGTGGGAAGGGTAACTAAAATCTTATGCAGATTCTTGCCACATCCTGACACAGACTAACTTGATGATGGTGCAGTAGGGGTGGTGTTGGCGCAGTGGTTAAGGCACATGCCTTTGGTGTGAGAAACCCGGGTTCGAATCCACTGTGAGACACCAATGTGTCCCTGAGCAAGACACTTAACCCCTAGTTGCTCCAGAGGCGTGTAACCTCTGACATATATAGCAATTGTAAGTCGCTTTGGATAAAAGCGTCAGCTAAAATGAATAAATGTAAATGTAACATTTGTTTGGTTATTTTACTTTTACAGCCCATCCTCTTTGCTAAGTCTCTACTTTGGAAATATGTTCCAGTGTGCATGTTGTTGGATTTGATTTAATAATAAACAATCACCGTATAAGTGGACTATTGCAGTGGGGCACAATTTGAAATCAGTGGATCGAGAGTGGAGTCTGCAGTTCGGCCTGGCTCCCCTACTTAAAGGGTTAGTTCACCCAAAAATGAAAATTAAGTAATTAATTACTCACCCCCATACTGTACCAACCCCGTAAGACCTTCGTTCGTCTTCGGAACACAAATGAAGATATTTTTGATTAAATTTGAGAGCTGTCTTACTACCACATAGGCTCCTAAGGGACTGCCTCTTGACGGCCCAGAAAGTCAATGAAGAAAATGTTTAAATATCCCAAGTGACTACCGTGGCTCAACTATATGTTAGTCAAGCGACGCGAATACTTTTTGTGCGAAAAAACAAACAAAAATAACGAGTTTATTCGACTATTTCTTTTCTTCCTTGTAGGCCAGAACGAGACTTCCTTAGATTTCCACGACGCATGCGCGAGATTTGCGATCTGCTCACACCAGCTTACACCACTTCAGATCGCAATTCTCGCGCATGCGTCGTGGAAATCTATAAGGAAGTCTCGTTCTGGCCTACAAGGAAGAAAAGAAATAGTCGAATAAACTCGTTATTTTTGTTTGTTTTTTCGCACAAAAAGTATTCGCGTCGCTTGATAAACATATAGTTGAGCCACGGTAGTCACTTGGGATATTTAAACATTTTCTTCATTGACTTTTTGGGCCGTCAAGAGGCAGTCCCTTAGGAGCCAATGTGGTAGTTATACAGCTCTCAAATTTAATCAAAAATATCTTCATTTGTGTTCCGAAGACGAACGAAGGTCTTACGGGGTTGGTACAGCATGGGGGTGAGTAATTAATGACTTAATTTTCATTTTTTGGTGAACTAACCCTTTAAAGTAAAGACCACACAAAGCCAGAATTTCCTGACTGTCGGTCAGCTTTTGTATACTGATTACTGACCTTAATTTCCTCTCAGACTACGGTTCACACAGTGGGATATTCTAGAATATTCTAACTGGGCATTACTGGTGTAGCACCACCCCAGCAGAGTACGTACGACACTCTACGTCCCTGGGCTAGAGGTCCAGTTGCACCGTAAACCAACTCAATCTCTTCCACCTCAGATAGGGGTATACTGGAAGAGATTTTGATGGAGAGCGGGAGAGTCTTCACTCCGATGAGGCGAGTGAAGAAGTAAGTTACTGCTGAGAATATAAGAAGTCCCTGGGCTGGAGGCCCAGTAGCACCATAAACCAGCTCAATCTCTTCCATCTCAGATAGGGGTATTACTTTATTTTATTTTATTTTTACTCTTAACTGTTTTTATTTATATTGATTGCATTTACTGAATGAGCACTGTGCCACTGTTCGTCCGACTGTACTATATATATTATTTTCGACACTGTATTTTATTATTATGATTTTTTTTATTCTAAACCGTTTTAATTATTCTGACTTCTTTTGATTATTTTAATTTCTTCCATGTAAAGCACTTTGAATTGCCACTGTGTATGAAATGTGCTATATAAATAAACTTGCCTTGCCTAGAATTGTCACTTCTGCTGATGTTTTAGCAGTGAGAACAAAAGAGTGACACTGAAGACATAGACACACATTTTACTGCCACTGTCATCTTTGCATCTAATTTTTTGGTAGCTAAAACATATATTTTTTAAGAAATAATTTATATTAAACGTGAAGGGGTACGTCACTGCTGGCAAATGGGCTATCTATAAGACTTGGATGCCTGCAGAAGAGAGGCGAATTTCTTAAGAAATTGGTGCTACGTGACTTGTGAAAACAAAGAAAAAAGGCTGTTATCTTCTCTTTTGCTAAATAATGAGGATAACTTCAACACCCACAATGCAATGGGCATGTTATCATGCAAGGCAGCTTCAACCAGTCTGCTATGGATACGCTTGACCAGAGTCAAATACTGCCTTGCTTTAGGAAATACTTCTTAGAAAACGTTATAATGGTGTCAACTTGTGTTGTTGTGTTATTCGAGTAAAGGAGTTGTAGGCAGTTGCTTAAAGGATTAGTTCACCCAAAAATCTCAATCCCCATTGACTACCATAGTATGTACGTACTTTTTCCTACTATGGTAGTCAATGGGGAATGAGATCTGTTTGATTAAAACATTCTTCCAAATATATCCCTTTGTGTTCAGCAGAACAAATAAACACAAAGAGGTTTGGAACAACATGAGGGTGAGTAAATACTGGGTAATTTTTGGGTGAACTAACCCTTTAAGGCTGCAAAGGATTGGAAAATTTGAAAAACCTCTGTTTGTGTGTAGTCAACATTTCAAACTGAATGACTTGACTACAAGGCCAAACAGAGGGGTAAAACTGAAAGAAACTGTGGTTCATCAGTTCCACATTACGTTGTGAAGCAAAACGCTGTTGCCAGCGTTTAATTTTTACCATAATGCTGTTTAAAGAGTAGAAAATGTTACAATTTCCAGTTATTATCCTACCCTTACAATAACTGTCCTGTTAATAACCCTCTGTCAATCTAACCGTCCATTGGCGGGGATACAAAAATGCGGAATTACAATCTGTTTATTTTACAAAAGCTCTAGAGCTGTCAAAATTCCACCAGAAGATGAAAGACAAATAAAAGGGAATTTATTGGTCCAGGTAACACAGAGAATGAGTAAACATTGCTCATTTAAGTATACTAATGACATTGTAACAATACAAGGCGCGTAGAAAATCGCCAACATTACACTTTAAATCACAAAAGAATTTAAGGACTTGATGATTTGGGGTGACTATAAGTGTCACAGACTTGGCTGCGTTATCATGCAAAAGAAAATATTAGATAATAGACTATCTCTTGTAGTATCTTATTGTATACTTTTATAGAAAAGTCTTTATCTAAAAGTCATTATAAAATACACATTGGCATTAGTGTGGTCCACCAGAAAAACACAAGGCTGTCACTTTAAATGCTTGCTTAAATTGATATTCGTGGACTTCTGTTTATCTAAAATGTATATTGACAGTATACAATTTTCTTCTCATCATTTATTTGCATTACAGAATAATGTGTCAGTCATGTGTATTTTGACAAACAGTTACTCACCGGTGACCTTTAATAGTGTGGGAATCTGATAAGGCATGTGAGCTCAAACCGTGGTTCTCGAGTTACACACAACCTTTTTTTTTAAAGGCTGCAGAAATGAATCCACACATTTCCGATGTTGTTTAGACTCAATATTACTTTATTTGTCTGTGTATTTAATTATAATAATACATTTTGTTTGCTAGATTCCTGTTTTTGTTTTTAAATAAAGAGATACTGTACAGTACACGGTAGAAACATCTAATTATTATCTCTCTATAATATCCCTTTCTTATGTGGTTCATTGGATGGTCATGTGTTCATAATTATTATCATGTGTTTAAAAAAGTTTGTGTTTTGTAATGTTGACAAGTCAAATAATCATACTGTACATTTTTGAATTTAGATGGAGGTCTATTCTATAGATAAGCACGTTCTCTCATCTTCTCATTATTGTTCTCCTACTGAATTTCTCTGTGGCTGTAAGCTTTAAGTGACATACTTTTGCAGTCTTTGTGTCTTAGTGAGTTTTCTGAGTAGTGATGCAGAATTCAGGCACGAGTGTTAGTATGGGTTAGAGTGGTTAATCGAGGTTTACATAGACTTGCAGAGATGGTGTACTTCTCAATTTCCATTCCGTCATTGTTTTCTCACACTCATGTCATTCCAAATCTGTATTCCTTTCTTCTTCTATATATATATATATATATATATATATATATATATATATATATATATATGTTCATTGTTCATACAATGAAAGTCTGTGGGGTGCAATGATGTTTCAGTTTTTGTGTGATCATTCCCAATAAGGGCATTGTTTTGAAGTCACTCTGTGGGGTCAGAGAGTGGAGGTGACTTCTATAAATATCGCTGTTAGATTCACTTTCTCCAGGGAATGTTACCCGAGTGCCGTCAGGTATATCATGACTACATTATACTACTGAATCAGTGATCAGGTGTCAGTTACATAGCATTGCTGATTAAAAGAGGTTTCATTTTCTTGGTTACAATTCAGATACTTGGATGTAAAAGATTATGGTAGATCGTTTTCTTCGGTTTTGTCTGAGCTGCTAAATAAGTCACACAGGTGAGGAGAATAGAGTTCATTGGTATTGAATGGAGCTGATTGGAGTGTTTAGTGGTGGTCTGATATCCCATCATTGTTATTTCACCTAAAATGAAGGTCAAAGGAACAGCACTGCATTCGTGGAGACAGTCACACCACATTTATTTATGTATGTTGTAGCCTGTGTATTGTGTGTGTGTGTGTGCTGACCGACTCACTCTTGCGCCCACAGCGTCCTCTTGGGAAGACATCAGTCGTGGCGTATAGCATCCAATGGAAACTTTGTTCGGCCTACGTTTCAGGCGGAAAGCCTGTGAGCCAAACGTGCGCAGGCGCTCCAGTGTGTCACTTCCAGCGAGTAAAGCGCGCCGGCGCTCCAGCGTGGGCCTGCCCTCAGCTGGCCTGGCTCATAGACGCAGGTCTAGCGTTCAGCTTCAAAACAGCAATGTGCAGGCAGGTGTCAGAAGAGGACACTTCACTAGGAGGAGGTCGAGTGGTGCGACGGCCTGCCTGACCCCGCGGTTCGCTATCCGACGAAGACAGGCTGCCAAACACCGCAGCATTCACGCCCAGCTCCTGGGACCGTCACTGCTCCTGGCTAGTGTGGTGCAGATGAGTGAAGACCATGAAAGGGAGGATAAGAGTGCAGAGGAATACTCCTCTTTCTCCGATAGCGAATGTAGTCAGGAAGAGCACGAGCAAGCAGGGATGTGCTTGGAGACGGAGTCTGATAAATGTCCGACATGGTTGGCTCAAGGTTTGTTGGCGGGAGAAAGCATTCAGCCCCGCCCCCTCATCCGTGCACCACGTTGCCTGCGGCGAAACTCCTCACACCTACTTCCTGCTGAGGCCGTTTTTCGAAGCCCAGCCTCTTCTGGCCTGTATGGCCGTTACCGAAGGACCAGTCAGGCACACAGGCTGTCCGATGTGGGTGGATTGTGGGCAGGGAGGCGAAATTCTCTTGCAGCTCGAGGTTCAGTTGCACTGTACAGGACCAGCTCCCCTTGCTGGCCAGAACTCAGTCTTTCACACACACTGCAGGGAACTTACTACAACCCACAGATTGACACATGGAACGGGTTCCTCTCGTATGTAGAGCCCTAACTACAGCTGTATGTCTTATGTTTGTGTGTTTGTAATTTTACAAACGAAGGCTATTTGGACTTTTGTCACTTAAATATTTTGTTTGCTGTTGGGATTGTTAGAGAGTATATATGCCACTTTTCAATTGATTACATGAGTAGAGAAGCCAAAAATAGCACTACATTATTCCAACCCTAATGTTACTTAGTACTTATCTTAATACTAGCTTATATCAAGCACTCCAACAGTAATTCCTTTATATTTGTCATTAGTCAGGTGATTATGGAAATTTCTTGTGTTCTTAGCTTTCTGACATTCTGACACTTTTGTTTTTCTCTTCTTTTTACTCTTGCTCCGTTCATTTTTTCGAACTGAAATATCTGTCTTCTAACTAGGCATATTTAGTTTCTCTGTTATTTATATAGGTCTTTATTCAATATAGATTTTTTGAAAGCATCTTCACAGTAATAAATGATGCAAACTTATCAAATATGAGACTAATTCTAATTCTGCTGTAAACTAGCTCTAAAATGTGTCATTATTCACAGCTCAAGTCTCTGATTCAGGTTAGATGTTGCAAAATTGATAAATAATGAAACAAATTAGATTTCAGCTATAAAACAGCTTTATAGAAGACAATGTCATCATCTAGCTCAATGCAGTTCAATTTATTTGAAGGTTTTGTTTGTTCCAGGCACATTTACTGTCCTTCTTTGTGTATGTCTACATCCGGGCTATACACCAAGTTTCTGTATATCATTGTTGCTTGATGTTTTATGGGATCTTTTTATTTTGTTTGTTTGTAGGAAGGCCATTGCCAAGTCCGGTCTCCAGCACCTCTCCAGCCAGCCCAGTGCTTTAGTGTTGGCCAGGGGGGAAACGGACAGAGAAATCCGCAGCACAGTGGACTGGAGTGTGAGTAATACTTACATATTAGACTTCATAAACACATAATAGAGATAGCACTACAGTTTCTTCAGTTTCACATTTAATTTGATGCTGTGTGTTTGAGCAGGAATCGGCTCTGTACGGAGAGCACATCTGGTTCGAGACAAATGTCTCTGGGGACTTCTGTTACGTCGGAGAACAGCACTGTTACGCCAAATCTCTGGTGAGCGGGTGTTCTATATATATAAAGGAATATATATAATATATATAACTGAAGAGTAAATAGAGGGAAAGAAGTGAGAAAAGACATCTTGAGTGAGGTATTCCAGATTAGAGAGAATAAAAGATTAAATAAGATACAAAAAGAAGTTGAGCGAGAGGATTGAAATTAATGGATGGTAAAAAAGAGAATGTATCATTCGCACCGTTTCTCTTTTTCTCTCATGTAAAGAAATGTAAGTGTAAAATGTACTTTATTTATATAGCTCCTTACATCAGCCAAGTGCTTTACAACAGAATAAACAACACATTAAAACAACCAAAAACACAAATACAATAATAAATGAGAGAACAGTAAGAAAAATAAATAAAAATAAAATCAATATAAACGTGCCATCACACTACTAGGTACTGAAAGCCATTTTAAAAAGATGCGTTTTTAGTCTTGATTTGAAAAGTCTTGATTTATATTTTTCTCTCTTTGTATAATGCTGCTCCCTGGTGGCTTTCTCACAGAATACATTGCACAGGATTTGGTCCTTTAACTTCGGAATTATGTGCATCAAACCAGTTTGATTTTATTATTTTGGCCATTAAACTTGCATCTAGTGGAGATCACCTGTCACCTCAGTTTGTGTCTGAATCTAATGATGTCTCTCTTTCCTGTTTTTCACAGCAAAAGTCTGTTGCTCGGAAAAAATGTGCTGCTTGCAAGATCGTAGTTCACTCCATCTGCATTGAACAGTTGGAGAAGGTGAGTGCCGGTTCTAATGGCAACACGAAAGTAGAGACGTGATCTGACACTGCATCACAGACCATACGTGTTCCTCCCTTCAGTTATTGGATTGGAATGCTCCGCCTCAGGGGGAGAGGCTTGATGAAGTGCCTCTCAAAGAGCCGTCATTCAGAGTGAGAAACCCTCTGGCTTTTTCTCAGACTCAACTGGGTCTAATGGATCACTCACACATCTGATCTTAGTAAAGACTGGTGGCTGTCTGGCCTGATAAACCTAGAACACCCAAATAACAATATCCTGTTAACATCCGGAGCCACTTAAGCGCTCAGTCCATCCAGACTGTGAAGGGGCCATCTTTTGTCTCTTTTTGATAACCTGATTGGTTTGAAGTGAAGACAAAAGCTGGTTCTTCTAATCGTATTAGGTTTTCTTGCCAGACATATTCTTTTTCTCACTAGGACCTTAATCACTGTCATTATGATTGGGCAAGTCAATGTCAGGTTGTTGGGTGGAGTTTTATTTTATCCATGAGGCACAGATTCTGTGTGTTCTCAGATCTGATTCTGGCTGGTGACTTTAACAGTCTATGTCTGGTATGTGGGGCTGATTGTGGTGAAATGATGTTTGATTAGGGGGTGATTTTAATCATACTTCTCACTAACCAGGCTAACAAACTCAGAGATGGTAAGGCAAGTGGTGCTTTTGGTTTTTTTTTCTGTTCTCATATATGTATATATAATTTGAAAAATGTATTAATTTCATATAGAAATGTTGATCTCAGTGGGTCATCTTCAAATCTGAGCATGTTTTCTGTAGAATAAAACAGTTTTGAGGATTCGTTTAGAGTAAAAACTTATAGGGTTAGTTTACCCAAAAATGAAAATTAAGTCATTAATTACTCACCCCCATGCTGTACCAACCCCGTAAGACCTTCGTTCATCTTCGGAACACAAATAAAGATATTTTTGATTAAATCTGAGAGCTGGATCACTCCTTCATAGACTGCTTAAGGGATTGGCTCTTGACGGCCCATAAAGTCATTAAAGAAAATGTTTAAATATTCCATGTGCCTACAGCGGCTCAATTATAAGTTTATCAAGCGACGAGAATACTTTTTCTGCGGAAAAAACATAAATAACGACTTTATTCGACTATTCCATTACTTCCTTATGGGCGCATGCGCGAGAACTGAGACGAGGACGTTCTCCTTCGACTACTTCTTGTTACCGGCTGCTCACCGCTTAGGAGTATTACCGCCACCTATCTTGTAGAATAGTTGAATAAAGTCGTTATTTATGTTTTTTCCGCAGAAAAAGTAGTCTCGTCGCTTGATAAACTTATAATTGAGCCGCTGTAGGCACATGGAATATTTAAACATTTTCTTTAATGACTTTATGGGCCGTCAAGAGCCAGTCCCTTAGGCAGTCTATGGAGGACTGATCCAGCTCTCAAATTTAATCAAAAAATATCTTTATTTGTGTTCCGAAGATGAACGAAGGTCTTACGGGGTTGGTACAGCATGGGGGTGAGTAATTAATGACTTAATTTTCATTTTTGGGTGAACTAAACCTTTAATAGTATTGTTGAAAACTTGATTTTTTTTTTTTTATTTGTCTTTCAGATAAACTTCAGATGTAAACCATCTTTCAGGGAGTCAGGATCGCGGAACGTCCGGGAAGTGAGTTTCTTCTTTTCATCTTCCTTTCTTTGTTTTCTTAATATCTCTCCCATTCTGCCTGTTTTCCAATTCTGTCAAACTTATGTCATAAAACCTCCATAGATTGATATAAACAGCCAACAGCAGTGTGCTGAGAGTCAGTTTACTTTGTCATTGTATTTTTATTATTTATGTATTACACTTTAAGAAAACAAAAATGAGGAGCTATTTTATCTATAAACTTACCTTTAGGGTAACACTTTACTTGAAGGGGTGTGCATAAGACTAACCTGACACCTTCATAATCATGACATGACATATGTTATGAATATGAAGGAGGTTTTATGCATGTTTGTGACAACTGTCATTAAGTGTCATTCGCTCAGTTATGACATTTTTAATCCAAATATGACACTGTTTGAGATGTCTTCATGACACCTTGACCTAAACCATAACATCATAACCTGTCAGTGTCTTTGTCATGACAATTTGACATTACTAAGACAACACAACCTGTCATAAACATGACATAGCAGATTAATTATCAAATTTAAGAAACCACCTAGCTTTATTGGTTAACATTACATTAAACTGTCTGGTGGTTGGTTTTGACATTGGCTAACAAAGACATCTTAATGTCATATTTGCATTCAAAATGTCATTATTGAGCCACATACACTTAATGACAGTTGTCATAAACATGCATAAACCCTACTTCATATTCTAGACATATGTCATGTCATGGTCATGAAGGTGTCATGTCAGTCTTTTGCACACCCCTTCAAGTAAAGTGTTCCCAAATCTGGTGCTATACAGCTGTCTAAATGACCCCAGACTGTTTTCACACCACAATGACTGATGCTGTTTGCTGTTTAAATCATTAAATCTTGATTTTACCCATTTTACCCTCTTTTCCTTTTACGCGTTTTCTTATGTCCCACTCTCTGTGGTAATCCATCCCTCGTCACCTCATCCCTATCTCGCCATTGCACTTCTGCTCCTCTGTGTGCCCTTTCTCTTCCTGTCTCTCATCTTGGCTTGGTGGGTTAGCGCACCTGGCGACGCAGAGCTTTCAGAGGTCGCCATGCTTTGGAACAAATGACAGTTGCTGCAGCTAAATATAGTGCACACACCTCTATCACACAGGTATCAAACACACTCTCACCCAACTATGATGACATCTTTATCTAAATGAGGGCTTGTACATTTCTGTTGTTTTAAATAAAGCTAATTACAATTGATACAAACTACCCTTAACCCTATGCGGTTAGAATTGTTTCATTTGTCTAAATAAATAGATATTGATCCACAAATAGATTTAAAGAAGTTTAACAAATTCACAAATAAATAGTGTGATCAACAAACAATTCACAAAAATGTCTTAAAGGGTTAGATAGTCAATTTTCAATCAAATCTATATTGTTCCAATGTCAGTAGTATATGTAAATGAACATTGTGTAATACCTGCACAGATATATCTTAATTTCTTTGTCAGCAAAATTTTTAAGTTTTTGACTCATTTTATTTATGTTTTTGATTTCTTTGTGTTTGTGAATTTCTCTTAATTTCAGTGGATCTTAATCTATTTATTTGGAAAATTAAACAATTCTAACACTATATAACCCAAATCCCAATCCTTAACCCTGAAAGATAATTTACAACTGCATTTTTAGAATTTAGAAAAATAATCTAAATAATTTTACTATTGTGTGTGTATGGGGGAGGGCAGGAGGGTTTGTCCCCCAAGTATTTAATTATACATATGCCCACATTTGTATAGGCATTGCATCATAGCATTCAAATATGAGTAGATGCAGTATCTCACAAAACTGAGTACACCCGTCTCATGTCAGCAAACATTTTAGTATACTGTATCTTCTCAAGGGACAATACTATAGAAATGAAACTTGGATAGATTTTAGAGCAGTCAACGTGCTGCTTGTATAGCAGTATATGAAGAGTTCAGATGCAAAAGCCTCTAAATGCCATTTGAAATTTTCTTCAAGAATGTTAATTTTTATCAAGCTTGTATATTTAAGTTCAGTAATTTCACTTAAATGGCAATGAAGATTACCTATGAATTGCCATTTAAGTGAAATTACTGAATTTAAATATACAAGCTTGATAAAAATGATTATTCTAGAAGAGAATTTCAAATGGGACTTAGAGGCTTTTGCATCTGAACTCTTCATATATTTACTGTTAATAATAACAATAATACCTGTGTGTTGAGTTATTTTCAGAGGACACTAAATATACACTGCCATACAAGCAGCACATTGATTACTCTAAAATATATCCAAGTTTCATTTCTATAGTATTGTCCCTTGAGAAGATATACTGAAATGTTTGCTGAAATGTGAGGGGTGTACTCAGTTTCGTTATAGATCTCCAGTTCTTCTATTTCCATTATTTCTGTTCTGCTGTCTCTTCCTGTTCACGTGTCGCACCAAATCCCTAACTTCAGATTTTATCTTGAGCTTTGCCCTGCAGCATAACCTTACTACATTAAACTGGTTACGTTAATGTTACATTTTTAACACAGATTGTCAAAATCTATGGATTTGAGATCTTCTGTCTTGTTTTTATGACAGCCTGCAATAGTGCGACACCACTGGGTCCATCGGAGAAGACAAGAGGGCAAATGCAAACAGTGTGGAAAGGTGGGTAGAAAGAATCAAGTGTTTATGTGATATAATATGTTTGGCAAATGATATGTATCTCAATGAGTCTGATCTCCACCTACAGGGATTTCAGCAGAAATTTGCCTTTCACAGTAAAGAGATTGTAGCCATTAGCTGCTCCTGGTGCAAACAAGCAGTAAGTATCTCAGGCTGAATGCATTGGTGTGTTTTAGTATTGAGGAGTATGTAAATGTGTGTAACTATCCTCTCTTTCTCTGTCTGTCTGCAGTATCATAATAAGGTGACATGCTTTATGCTGCAGCAGATAGAAGAACCGTGTTCATTAGGAGCACACGCCGCCGTTATAGTACCTCCTACCTGGATCATACGGGTTCGCCGACCTCAGGTATACACTACACTCTGTTACTTCTCTATTATGGTTGTTGCATGGCCAACTGAATGGAAAACTCCACAAACTGATTTAGATAAATTAATTTGGTGGCTCTGTAAGCTGTGCTATCAGTACTGTATCTCTATGGCTCAATTTCATGGAAAATGATAGATGTAAACAACACCCAGTGCAAACCCTAAGCAATTCTGTAAATTTTCGTAAAAACGTAGCATTGTATTACTTGCACAAACGTATCGTTTTAACATTGTTCTGTTAAAGAAATGTTGTTGTCTTCCCTGGATTGTTTAGGAACTCCAGCATACAAAATACATAGTACATAGATAAGGCATTAAATGGCTGTTCAGATCTAAGTTATAAAAAAATGCTCTGTTTTTTTGTATGTATTTTAAATACTTAAATATGTATTTTAAAGAAACACTGTGGAAACAGAGAGCATTTTTATACTGAAATCTCCACTGGTAGTTTTCCACTGCTTTTTTAATGAATGTGTTGAACATGTGGAGTGCTTTTTTAGTAGTGTCATTGTGCTGTTTTTTAATCGTAGTCCTCGCTAAAGTCAAGCAAAAAGAAGAAACGAGCGTCTTTCAAGCGCAAATCCAGCAAGAAAGGAGCAGAGGTATGAGAAACAAACTACAGTAGTATTCATTTTTGTTTGCCAGATGATAAAACAATTAAAGAAGCAGAACTCTCTCTCTCTCTCTGTGTATCTCTTTATCTCTTTATTTCTTTCTTTCCAGGAGGCTCGATGGAAGCCCTTCATTGTGAGACCTATTCCCTCTCAACTCATGAAGCCACTGCTGGTGTTTGTTAACCCAAAGAGTGGAGGAAACCAGGTATTATAATTACCTTCTAAATCAATAATAATGTTGATGATGAATTAATAGTAAGATTATTGACAACAATTAAATAAACAATAAAAATGATAATCACCTATATGAACTATTCCGTTCTGCTCTCTCTTTCAGGGAGCTAAAATCATCCAGTCCTTTCTGTGGTATCTGAACCCTCGGCAGGTCTTTGATCTCAGTCAGGGCGGTCCTCAGGAAGGGTCAGTACCTGCAAATGGGATAATTCACAGCAGGGCTTCCAAAAATGACATACAGTTGTTATCAAAATTACCCCCCCATTGCAAATCAGGTTTACTGTATTGACAAAATGTACAGACTCTCAGCTGTTTTCAATGAGCAAATCAAAGTAATTGAAATAGCTCAACACAACAAATGTTTCAAGTGGTTTCCAAAATTCAACTGAAAATGCAACTTTTTTAATTACTTCTGCAGTCTCAAAATTATTCTACCCCTTCATGTCTAGCATCTTTAGTACTTAGTAGAACACCCTTTTTTGTACATTTTGTTTGATTTGCTCATTGCAAACAGCTGAAAGTCTGAACATTTTGCCAATACACCTGATTTGTATTACAACTGTATTATAAGTAGCCTACTATTCAAGATTTTAAACTGTGGTTCTCTGGTGTTAGTTAATGGTCACTTGTAATGGTCACACTACAGTACTTTTTATTTTGATTTGTTTTTATTTGCGGTAAACGGCTGCACGGATTGGTAAAAAATATACTGTATATTGTGATTTATTTTGTCACAGTTCATCATACATTGATATTTTCTACCTGAATGTTCATTGGTGTTTTGTTTTTAGCTTGGAGCTGTATCGCAAAGTTCACAACTTGAGAATTTTGGCCTGTGGTGGGGATGGCACGGTGAGTGAATGTGTGCGTGTCTGTATGTGGCAATAATCTGCAAACACATAGTCTGTGATCCCCCTTATGTAGATGTTTGGTGAATGGTTTGTTTACGATTATGAGCCCCTCCAGCAGGGTGTGGCATCGCAGTCTTATCTTCCAGACTGTGAGCAGAGGAAGAGATGATTCTCCTGAGTCCTAATACTTTGACACTGTTCAGATGAGTCATGTGTTTGAGGAGTTTTCTGACATGTAATGCTGATGTGTGTGTCCTGGTTTACCCCATGCTGTCACGTCTCCGTAATCCGTTTGTGTGAGTAATTAAGAGTATTAAAGTGGGATCTGAACGCAGCTTTATTTCATATACTGACTTTGATCCATGAGAGAGAAGTTTAGGAATATTGCCTTAAGCCCGACTGAAATAAGGAGATTAAACCACCCTTCCTCCACCCTGCCGAACTGCGATTTTCTTTCTGCAGATATTCATATGGAGTTCTTTTTCTGGGTTGATGTGATTGTACAAAACAATATATCATCTATTTAACAATTTTGTGTGTGTGTGTGTGAGTGACGGGGACTATTAATGAAGTTCTTATGCATCTCTCTCTCTCTCAGGTGGGCTGGATCTTGTCTGCTCTTGATCAGCTGCAGCTAAACCCTTCTCCTGCTGTGGCAGTACTTCCTCTGGGCACAGGAAATGACCTTGCTAGGACGCTAAACTGGGGTGGGGTGAGTGAAACTTTGTTTGTACACAATCATCCCAAACAATCAGTCCAACTTGATCATGTTCCTCCATAGTAAATTTTAATTTAATTCTTGTAGCATAGTCTGCTCACTATCCGTTCGTAAGCATTGTTTGCTGAGTGGGCATTTCTTGTACAACCGTATGGATGCAGGGTTACACAGATGAACCTCTGAGTAAAATCCTGTCTCACGTTGAGGATGGGAATATTGTACAGCTGGATCGATGGAATCTTATTGTGAAACCCAACCCAGATGCGGGCCCCGAGGAAAGAGACGAGCAGGTTACGGACAAGGTAAGAGCTTCATCTGCAGTGCTATTTTACATGCAGTCATAAGCACAGGTTTGCGTCAGTGTGTAAGCAGCTGAAGAGTGATCGATGTTTCTCTGCTCCACAGCTCCCTCTTGACGTATTCAATAATTACTTCAGCCTTGGGTTTGATGCTCATGTGACTTTAGAGTTTCACGAATCTCGAGGTTGGTGTAAAGGCGCTAGTCTGTGACTGTTTATTAGCCAGACAGCGGTTGTGTGAGCATAAAGGATTTCTTCTATGAGGTCAGATTGATTGGTACTCATTGAGATTAATGATGGTTTGTCATCTTACTTCTCAGAGGCCAACCCTGAGAAATTTAACAGCCGATTCAGAAACAAAATGTTTTATGCAGGGGTAAGTGAAACACACATTTCTAAATGCATGTAATCAATCTTATTGTGAACGTTTCCTCTGTATGTAATTTTCTAAAAATTAGTTTTGACCATGTAATTCTTAATCAAACTTGTTCTTCCGGTGAAACAACAGATTTTTTTTTTAGTAATGTGTTCTTTACTTCTCTAATCATTTATTCCATTTAAACCCCGCCCCCGCTTAATCAACTCCAAGCTTGCATTCAGATCTCCCTCCATCCAGAAAAAAGGCTCCTTTGCTACTTCCATTACTTCACAACTATAATAATTGCAAACCCTAGTTTTAGCTGAAACATTAATGAATATGACAGTGAGTTGGTGATGACAAATAATGCAAAGATTGTTTCATTTTCTGCAGACAGCGTTTTCTGATTTCTTGATGGGCAGCTCCAAAGACCTGGCTAAACACATCAGAGTAGTGGTACGTACAGAACAACTCCTTAGTGCAGAACAAGAGAGGAAATCTGTGTGCATGCCAGGGTGTTTTGAAATGCAAATGAGTATTTTTTTTTCTGGCTTGACTCAAAGTCTCTGTATTTGCAATTGCATGCTTGTTTGTTCTTTTGCGTTTCTTGCTGTTGGGCTTTTGGGCTCTTGAGCATTGAGAGGTAGTGTGTCTAAATATGAGTTGAAACCTTTTTTTCTGCTGACTGTTGGTTTGTTCTGCTGACTTAGTCAGTTTATGCTGCTTTCTTCTCTCTCTCATTCTCTATAGTGTGACGGAACAGATTTGACCTCGAAAGTCCAGGATTTAAAGCTACAATGCCTGGTCTTCCTCAATATCCCCAGGTAATGTACAAAATCTTTTTTCTGCAACTTGTTGAATTCTCAGCATCATTACTCAGTCTTCAGTGTGACATGATCCTTCGGAAATCATTCTAATATGCTGATTTGGTGCTCAAGAAACATTTCTTACTAATGACTAAATGTAAATTTCTCACCTTTGCTCAACATAGCTCTAGATTTGTTTGTGTGACGTGTAGAGGCTGACATTTTTTCGGGAATCCCACGGGTCCCGGGATTCCCGTGGGATTCCCGCAGGATGGGAGTCATCTTTCCTATTAATCACGGGATTTGGACGGTACAGGATAAATGGTTAACGGGAGCAGACGGGAGCGGGAATCAACCAATAGCAAAGACGACAAAAAAAAAAAAAAGCAAAAAGTAAATGCACCATTTTGTAGTTTCCTTTTAATACGCCTAAAATGTAGCAAAATTAAAAAATAACTACACGACCCAGCCGTTCCAGAAGCCATCAGTGCTTTTTGTCACGGCTTACCGCCGGAATTCAAAGAGCAGTGATGGAGGGAGCTAATAGCCGCGGAGAAGTCGATGTGGCAAAAAAAATTATTTACAGCGCAAAATCAGAAGTAATGACATGTCTATTAAGTTCACAGAACTGGTCGGAAAGTCTGAAAAATTAAGTATGTGAGAGTAGAATGTGACGGTGATAGCACGATGTACGCTGCTTGTAAGACATGCATAAAAGGGGGTCGCACACCGGACGAGAAGCGCAGCGCCGCGCCGTGTCTAGGACAACTTCAGGTAACGTATCGCACAATGGACGAGCTCTTTCTCATCATATGGCCATCAATATTGTTATGTTTAATGACATGAAATTAAGATAATGTCTGTTCTATGTTAGATTGTACTGTACAATTAAATACAATCATTACTGAGTCTGCACTCTGCAGTCTGAAAACTTTACCTCAGAGCATCCGTTCACTGAATGAATTGAGAATCTCAACTGAAAAATCCAATAACATCAGCAATTGTCATTCAAGCAGCTGATTTCTGTAAATGAATGCAAAACTAAATGTATATTACTGCATAGGGTGAAGTCAGGATACATTAGCAACGATTTGAGACAAAAATACTTTAAATTTTATATAAAACTATGTAAATGGCGCTCTGTGGCGCAGCAGGGTTTTGAACACGGTCCTGAACCGTTGCTGGGCGCCGCGAACAGACACAGAATGTGTTTGAATTTTAAAGATTCTGCGCGGCGCTGAGCTTCTCGTCCGGTGTGCGACCCCTTTAGTCAAGTAGCAAGTGATTCAGGGATGAGCGGTCTGAAGAGGCACGCAAATTCAGGAAAGAATAAGCCATGTTGCAGCCTACACAGCAAAATATAACTAAAATTTGTCTCATTATGCAAGAGCATAATTGATGAAAATCGTTTAAAATGTAATTAAAAAAAAACTATAAATGTAAACTGTAAATGTATTGTTTACTCAATAATAAATGAGTAAAATGCAGCTTTATGTGCTGTTTGGGTTTATTAAATTGTAGACATGGTGTGATGTACTGTTTTTCTTTTATTTACTGTCTTCTAATTTCTGGAGAAAATCTAGAAACTGGGGCTCAGCAGCTGGTCTAAAACAGGATGGATTGGAGAGGATGCAGAATTGCAGATTAAATCAAATTCTATGTATTAACTAAACATTAATTGAAGAAAAAATATATATGGGAGCGGTACAGGAGTGGGAGTCAGTTTAAACAGGAGTGGGATGGGAGTGGGAGTCAATTTACCAGGAGCGGGATGGGATGGGATTATTTTTTAAACTTTGGTCTGGGAGTGGGACGGGACAAGATTTCTTTCTATGGGAGTGGGACGGGACAGGAGTGAAAATCCACTCCCGTGTCATCCTCTAGTGACGTGTACATTTGGATGTGCATGTTAATTGCAGGTACTGTGCGGGCACTATGCCATGGGGCAATCCAGGTGAGCATCATGACTTTGAGCCTCAGCGTCATGATGATGGCTGCATTGAGGTCATTGGATTCACGATGACATCACTGGTATGTTTCACCTGATTGGATAAGTTTGAAGTGAGTTTTTAAAGTTGCATTGTTAATTTTCATTCCCTGCTTTGTTTGATGTGAATATAGGCCACGCTGCAGGTCGGAGGTCACGGTGAGAGGCTAAATCAGTGCCGTGAAGTCACCCTTACCACTTTTAAGTCAATCCCCATGCAGGTGGATGGCGAGCCTTGCAAACTAGCGCCATCTGTAATTCACATCTCCTTGCGAAACCAGGCCAACATGGTGCAGAAAACCAAGAGACGCACATCTATACCACTGCTCAATGAGTGAGTCCAACTTATGTGACAGCACAGTCATTTCTGGATTCTGTGTGGATTAGGGCTGCTGCGATATCATATTTTCACTACACTGGTCACGGGACAAAATAATTCATTATTACAATAAAATTTCATTATCTATAGTTTTCTCTTTTTGGTCAGTGAATCACACTCAAAATGCAAGTGTAGTTTGATTGTTGATGGACACATTGTGCAAACTAGGGTGTCTAACAGAATCTGAAAACCTCTCGGGTGAGGGTAGGGTCTCGCTTTTTATTTGTTGTCTCGAAAGTTTTTTTTTTTTGGCACTGAATTTGCTTGATTATTTATGATTTTATCACATTTATAGTATTAATATGATATTAATATTAAGTTTCTAAATTTGACAGTTATCGTCACTACCGCTATGTTGGTGCATAAGCTATTAAACACAAGGTCTGCCATTTTAGAATGAGTTTTAAAGGAGCACACACACACACACACACACACACACACTAGTATTTTGAATGAGCTTGTTTAATAATAATCCAAGTGAGCAGAAATTTAATTGATTGATGTCTTTCTCTATTGAGCTGTTACTGAAAGTGTGAAAAATTTGTGTGATTTATTTGCTCTCTCATTCTCCTTTCTTTTCCTTGAAACTTGAAGTGAATAAATTACCCTCATATATGGCTTTATAGGACAGACAATCTTGCTTAGTCCTGCTGAAATTATATAATTGCAAATCGCTTAGGTTTTGTTCATTACACACCTGATTGCTTCGAGGTGAATGCATTGTATTGACAGCAGATATCCCCATAATGAAACCTCTGTTAAAAAGATAAATATCTGAAGTGGTGACAGATTTAATTAGTGTGGCGACAGCAATGCCATTTATTGAAGTGCAAGACACTGTACCTAGCCAAGACAGTGCAGACACAGCCAACATAAGCCTCAGTTTGTGCTGTTCATCCTTTGTTTGTATGATTGTTCTAACTGGAATCTTTTTCCATCCAGTAGTCAGCAACCATTTCCAGAACGGTTACGGATCAGAGTGAGCCGTATAAGCATGCATGATTATGAAGCTCTGCACTACGACAAGGAGAAACTCAAAGAAGCTTGTGAGTGTGAAACATGTATTAACGTAACAGTTCAGCGCATGTACTGGTGATTTTAGTTGTAAAGTAATCGGTTTGTAACTATTTGCAAATAATATTTAATTTTAAACATCGGCATGAAACGGAAGTGGCAATTGTATTTTCTTCCCTATTGTGTTGTATATCTAAGTAAAACAGCTTATTGATTAAGAAAACTTAGAGCGGGACTTGATTATGTCCCTCTGGAATTGATTGGATCATTGGATTGTTGTGGTTTGCTATTGCTGCAATTTCATGTGAGTGACAGGAGGACAGGTTCCGCCCTCGCACCAGTGAACACGTCATCAGAGAAGAGATGTCACTGTTATTTTGATTAAAGATTACAAGGGCACATTATTTGAACAAGTAATGATATGAATGGATAAATCATTTACAACAAATGTTGCAAAATTCCATTAAAAAAAGAATTGTCAATTTTTATGTTATGGTGACTTTAAAATATGCACACGTTCTCTCATATTCATATGCCTAATAGAAAGTGCAATAAGCTCTTTGTCTTGTCACATTCAACATAAATTATTTATTAATCTAAATTATTATAAAAATATTTTGTATCACTAAAAATGACAAAAATCGGTTGTTTGCTTATTGCGTTTTTTTGTAGTTAAACAATCAGATATTAAATGTTTAGGTACTTTGCTACTGAACCATCCCTTTAAGCTGCAGTTTTATTTGTCAACACTAGGTGTCGTCCCATCACTACAGTGAGTGATTATAGTGCGTACTGATGGGTCTTTGGGAATACTTTCAGATTCAGCTTTATGCTGCTGTTGTGTTTTGACAGATTATTTTGTGCTGATCCATTGGAGATGTTAATGCCACACATTTCTATTCTAAAAAATGTATACTCTGTGTATGTGTGTGTCATATCCAAGTCCATCTTCTTGAACAGATATAAACAAGCTGTCTGTTGAAGTATATATGGCACAATGTGTAATAAGATCATTTTAACTGTTGAATATAGCAATATAGTGCTTTTTCAGAAGCACTCTATGCCGAGACCAATAGTAGTGTGGTTGAAGCCAAGCTACAAATACTTTATTTAGGACTGTTAGTCTGATTTCTTTGGCATGATGTTCATGTGACATTTTATAAAGACAAAGTTGCTTTAGTTTTACTGAAATCAAACTTTTCAACTCCATACAGTTGTCGTGTACTCTCTCCTTTGTGATAGAAAGCTATGCCACGTGTCCCTGTGTCTATTCTCCTCACAACTGTCCATCACTACTCTCCTGAAGAGCGTTGACAATACCACCAACTCAAAAGAAATAGAGAAAGCAGAGAACAAACCTGAATTGAATTTGAGAAACGACTGTTCAGATGTTGCTAAGCAACCCAACATTCCTCAATGGAAGAGACCTCTCCCATATCTCGCTATTCTCTCTCTCTCTCTCTCTCTCTCTCTCTCGCTCGCACTCCCCACTTTGTCAGAGAAACTTGCCGTCCTCTTGAGAATGCTCATTTAATTTAGAAATATTACCTTGCCTCTCTGAAGCCTGTGAGACTCAGCTCAGAGTAGCACATGACTACTGCTCCTCCAGCCTTTAAAAGTACACCACTGCACTTCCATAAAGTTAAGGTGATCGAGTGTGTCACGCTACAGTTGGGATTTCTGTGAAGATTCTATGCCTCTGCACAAACATCATATTTCATCATATTCTCTCAATGACACACACTGTATAAGAGCAAGCCTACAGCCACGTGTCCACAAAACACCTGCAGTGGTTTAGACTCTAGTCCAGACAAAATTGCCAATTCCTCCCTATCATGTCCTATTACTGTCAGACTTTTTTCATGAGGATTCTGTGGATTAGTTTTGAATGAGTTTGATTGAGTCTGAGCCACTGCATGTTTCATACAACTGCCATAAATCATATTCATCAATTCATCTGCTTAAATATATATCCACAAAGATAGAAGTGAATTAGCTTATACCTTAAATGATTAAGAAAAGTATTTATATCTTTCTTTAATCAGTATATTCTGAGAGGGAAAATGTGGGACAAGTTTTTCACAACACACAGCAGACTGTTACTGTGAGAGTGATGGAAAGATTCTGTTTTTTCTCCTCATCGCTTGTTCTAACTTCTCTTTTCGTCTCTTTCCATCCTTACTGCAGCGATTCCGCTGGGCCTCATCGTTGTCCCGGGAGACAGTGATTTGGAAACCTGTCGAGCTCACATCGAGAGACTACAGGAGGTAAAAAATGAGAGGGTGGGGTTAACAGATGGAGTGTGGTAAAAGTGAGAAATCAGGAGAACAGGGAAGAGCAGGAGAGAGGTGTTGGTGTTTGATTAATGATGTGAACAGTCAGAATATATTGAGGGAGAAGTTATTCTGCACTACAGATACAGAGCAGTGCACTCAACTGGTTTGTCCTTTAGGACCTAGATTGTAGTGGCGACACGGTATCATTTTTTTATTATTGTACAATAGGAAAGCAAAATCAGCAACACTTTAATACACAAAATAAGTGTTAAGAAATCAATGAACAGCAGTTTTTGCAGGATTTCTTAATTGAGATTAATGTTAAAGGGATAGTTCTGTCATCATTCATGTTATTCCAAACCTATATTGCTTTTTTCTTCTTCTGTGGAACATAAAATATATTCTTATAACATACAATGCCATTCAAAAGTTTGGGATCTTTAAGATTTTTCATATTTTTAAATAAGTCTCTAAGCTGAGAGATTTCTCAAGAGATTTTTCGATGTGCTATCCCTTTAAATTATCCATATTTCGTTTATTAATGAAGGTTCATTATTAGATATCATATTCATTGTTAGTTCATGATACCTACAGTATTAACCAATGTTAACAAAAAGTGTTGACCAAAAATCAAATATTAAAATGTGTTATAATACAGTATACTAACAAAATGCTAAATTACAATTACATATGAAATAAGAAAACTGTCATTCCTTAATTAAGATGATGCCATGCTCTGCTCTCCAGCCAATAGTTAATTGACAAAACAAATTGTGCCAATGTCAACTCATATTCAGCCTTATGTATGTAATAATGTAGTCTGAATTTATGTCAGCATCTGCCTAATGTAGCTTGTTTTTGCAAAGTGGCAAATGTAATACTGTAGATTGACAGTTTTTGATGGCAACAATTAAAAATTAGGCAAAGCGTTTTCTCTATTTTAAACGTTTAAAATATTTTACTGTTGTGACTATGCTCATTTTTTTTTTTTGGTTAGGTGACCTTTTAGTATTTACCATTGCTTTTTTCCCCTGACGTTGTGACCCCTGGTATAGAATATCTTATTTGTTTATGCCATACTCTCCTTGTTTTAATACTTTCTCATTGAGAAACATTGGTCGCACAAATAACTTCACGTTTAGCTGGAAAACCAAATGATTTCAAACCAGTCAGAGCCTTTGTCTAGAGACATATGTACAATACATTTAAGTTTGATTTTGTTATCATATGGAAGGCAAGAGCAGGGGAAATCTCTCTCTCTCACACACACACAGACATGTGTGCACACTGTGCAGCGGGTTATAATGAATCCCTTATCAGGAAGGTTGTCTGACTGTATGTGGCAGACTAGAGTATTCTTAAAATAAGAAAAGTAGTCTCAAATTCACATATGTGCTGGAGTGTATTTTCATAGAAATACTGTTGTCTATCTGCAGCACTGGAGACTATAAATGAGAGAGAAATCTTATGTGATGGCGTTTCTATCTGAACTGGATGGACTGTGTGCCTGATTTGATGGGGTTTGTGTGTGTGCGTGTATATCTAATGTAATGGGGTTCCCTGCAGGACTTTGTGTCGTGTCACCCATCTCTGCAGCGGCTGATGCTCCAGGTGGGTAAGATACCTGTGAGAGGTAAAACAGTGCACACCTGGAGCACTTTCAGGAACAAGACTGGAAATACAGCCTGGACAAAAATCTAGAAAACCAAACAGAGTTCTGTTTGTACTAAGGCCTGCCAGATTTTGATGGACATTCCTGCACAAACCCAAACTACCGAGAATGCATAAAACTCAGAAGAGATCAAATAAGCAAGAGAGTCTTTCTAAGCGAGCGATTCATCTGGAATCTCCCTCATCATTTTCTGAGATTGGAGCACTCTAGCGCCTTCATAGAAACTAGTCTGTTTTCAGACGTGAAGAGAACCCTCATTTGTACAGAATTCCCTCATGACAGATGTTATGGATGAAATTTGAAAAGCACAATTTTTACTAATTGCTTGCTAAGCTAAATCCGCTCGTTCAAAGCGTCGTTCCCTGGACATTTCCCCTGAGTCCTAAGTGCTCCCATGTGCTGTGTGTGGATGGATGCCTTCGATCACAATTAGCTTCTGTTGAGAATGGCAGCTTTTTTTATAGCAATGTGCATGCAGGTGTCATATTTATTGTGTGTTTGTGGAGTCTGTGAGTGTAGTTTGTGTAGTGTGTATTCGCCTTTGCATGACATATCTTTAAATGGCAGTTTGGTGCTTTAGGAAAGAGATTTATTGATGTGACGGGATATAATGACAGCTCTGTGGGGGTGGGGTGGGGTTAGGGGGGAATGTGAACTTTCAAATTTTTCATAATGCTGTTAATTTGATTTGAGTGGCATAAACTGACACTAATCAGAACTGTATCTACCTTTCTTACCATACTTCCTTCTCCTCTCATTCACAGGAAGGTGACGGAGCCCAATCCAAAGCTTTGTCATCTCAGAGGCTGTCTCCAAAATGGTGCTTCCTCGATTGTGAGTATTCTTTTCACAGTAGTTTGGATGGTAGAATTCAATTCAGATATGAGTCAAATCTGGGGTACTGAACAGCAAGTGTGTCATGGTGGCCCTCAAGGATGTGGGCTGGTGTTGTAAATAGCGCTTTCACAGACCCAATGGCCACCAAAGCGCTTTACATTTTGCCTCACATTCACTCACTCATTCACACAGCCATGCAAGCGCCATCCTGCTCATCGGGAGCAGCTGGGCTTAGGTGTCTTGCTCACGGACACCTCGACACTTGGTCAGGTGGAATTGAACCACCTGAATAGAACCACCGGGGATTGAACCACCAACCTTTTGGCTACCGGTTTGTAGACAACCTACATGAACCACTGAGCCACTGCCGCCCCGTTGTGTTTATCAGTGCACCAAGTGTAGGTGTTTGCTACCTACACGTTGTGAATAAAATGGCAAAGAAAGGTCAGAGATTCAAAACCATGAGTCAGACCCACAAAATATCCTCTTATCGGTGCCAGAATCAAAGTGAGCCAAAGAGGAAAAGAGAACGAGTCATGAATCTCCATACTGAAGAACAGAATCTACTCTGACATTTAAGCTTTAGTAAGGAGTGCCAGGATGATTATTGCCAGCGGTAGAGAATTACAGCCACAGAGAAAGAGAGAGGAGCTGTTGGCATCATATTAACTGCATGTCTGACATGATGAACGCTGTGGGTATGCGTGTTTCGCCAAGTCACACCAGCAGGTCAGCAGGCATCACTCAGTCATGCATGTGACGTACATTACCACACATGTGTTGCACACGTACATATACACACACTATTTGTCTCAATTAGCATCATCCATTGAGTTCACAAAAACATTTGGAAACATAAATAATTTCTGTATTTATTAGAGGTACACTACCATTCAAAAGTTTAGGGTAAGATTTTTTAATTAATATTAATAATTATAGAAATATTTTTTTTTCCAGAAAGGATGCATCAAACGGGATACATTTAAATTTCTTTTGAACTCATGAAATAATATACATAAAATAATCCAGAAAAAAAGTATAGTGGTTTCTACAAAAATATTAACAACTGTTGTCAAAATTGATAATAAGAAATGTTTCTAAAACACCAAATCAGCATATTAGAATTATTTCTGAATGATCATGTGACTCTGAAGACTTGAGCCTGTTTTATAATGTATTCAAATAGAAAACCGCTGTTTTAAATTGTAATTTTATTTAACTGTATTTTCTATTAAATAAATGCAGCCTTGAGCATGATACTTCTTTCAAAAGCAATGAAATTGTTATGACCTCTAACCTTTGTATTTTTAAATAGGGCTTTATTGTTTGTTTAACACTGTCCTACTAGCTCATTATTGCCACCATACAGACCTTTATGTGGACCAATTTGTAGTTATCTCCTTATTGATCCCTCAATGCATGTAACTCTTTGGAGCAAAAAGATAATTGTACACATTATGTATTCTATGAGAAATAATAAATTGCTTTTCGCATACAGGTGACACTTTTGTTGTGAGAGGTGTGTTGAAGCATTGATTCGAATTGTGTTGAAAGGGCCATCAGACTTCATCTGTCAGCATCTCGAGATATGGGGAGTCACTCCTCATTATACACAAATCCTCTGTGACAGTTAAGACACATTCGCATAGATCATAAACTGCTACACATCAAACCAGTGAAATGACAGTACATAACAATCCCCTGTTCAGTACATGCATCTTTTTACCTTTTCCGCCCTTTTTTCATCCTTTCTTTCCAGTCCCTCCTTCTCCTCTTCCCACTGGCGCAGAGCCAAACTCATCTCCTCCTTTTTAAGACTAAAAAGCTTCCTAGGGCTTTATTACCAGAGCAGAGAGCTGCAGAATTAGTCAAAACTTTTCAAAGTGATTGTGGAAGTTCTTCTGATCTCAGCTCAGTGTAATGAAGTTACTGTCAAATAATTTGTTTCAGTTCAAGCTAGGGAAAGTCTGATCCGAGGCCAGTTTTCATGGATTATTGAATATATTGTCCATGCCCCAGGGCAGCATTAGTGGGGGGGCATTGTCACCAGATTGTAAGGAATCATGTGCTCTCATTACTTTTGCGGCATGTTATTTACAGGTATGAAGACAAGCTCTTGGGAATTTATGTGTGCGTTTTCAGCATGTGCATTCTCTTTGGGAGTAATTTGCTTTGGTGAGATGTGACACCCGTGGCAGCCTCTCTTTTCACGCTCATTAAGACAACACAAGGGAGTCACACCCCTCCACAAATCCAGAAACACCATTGGTCTAAATACCTGGCATGCCTTATTGTACCCTTTGATTCATTCAGATCATTTTACTGACATCTGTTGCAGCCAACCCTGTCGAGGGGTGTCATTGTCTTTTTAACTAGCTGAGCAGTGTTGGGTGTAATGCATTGCTAAGTAATGAATTACTGTACTTTTTCAAAGGAAAAATAATTAAAATACATTAAGGGATTACTTTTATTTTTTCTGTACTTTACTTTAATTAGTTACTTCTGATGTAATTGCAATTAATACGGTAAAGAACCACTAGAAAACAATAGTGTATTTAACATTTAAAATTAACATGTCATGTTAAAATGTATGTTTTTAATATACCTTTTTCCCTTTAAATATGGAGAAGACGAATTTCTAGGATAATTTATGCAATTGTGATTTATTTGAAAGAACTAAAAGCAGTTTCATGTCTATCCATTTAACTGGTTGAGTTTGATTTGGGATTTAGAAAGTAAAAAATAAAGCAATTCTTTTTAGAGAGAAATTACCCTGTTGAAGATTTAATTAGTAGCTAGTTAATTAGAGTATTTTTTAGAGTAACTTACCCAACACTGCAGCTGGGTTAGGTTAAATGTTTGACCCAACATTTAAAATAAAAAAATAACAAAATGACTGTACTGCTGGGTTAGAATTAACCCAAATGGGTGGGAAATGTAAAATAACTTTAACCCACACAAAGAATGACTACAGTAACACAGGCTATGAAGAATAAGAATACCCAGGAATAGACCAATAGGCAAAAGTAATAACATATATGATAAAATAACCTGATCTGTAGATTTTGAAGGGTACTGTTGTGTGTAATTGGAGACCTGCTCTGAAGGTATGGTAACTAATCAGAGGCCTGATTTGGATTCTTATTTATATTTGCAGCTACAACAGCTGATCGATTCTACAGGATTGATCGAGCTCAAGTGAGTCCTCCATACAATACCTCTAAACGTATTTTGAGCGAAAATGTAGCAATTTTTAGTGCACACAAACAAACCATGCATATTTGTTTTCTGTCTGTCTCAGGAGCATCTTAACTACGTGACTGAGATTTCTCAGGATGAGCTATTTGTTTTGGACCCAGAACTGGTTGTCACAGAGACCGTCAGCACATCGCCAGGCATGCCAGACCTGGTGGACTCCTCTGGTGATGTCCCGTCCGATCCACATAAATTTGCCTTCCCATCATCCTCCTCTTCGCCACCAAACTCGCCTGAACCCAGGTGAGACACCATAAACACACACATGGACAAACACAGAGGACACACTGTTGTATCCTTGTATCCAGTGCCATTACTGTTTGTAAATTAATAGTTCACCCAAAAATGTACTTATCCTCATGTCGTTCCAAAACTGTGACTGAAATTCTGAGGAACACAAGAAGATATTTTGAGAAATGTCTCAATCAGGTCAAATTTTGTTTTGGGAAACCTTTATATGGTCACAAACAGTTCAAAGGAGACATTCTTCAAAATATTGTACAAATAAATGATGACAGCATTTTTCTTTTTAGGTGAACTATCACTTTAAGCTAATCTTTGACTTTCTTTTCATCATTATAATGATGTTTTTATGAATGAGTTATTTTTCACAAACTCTTGTACAGGAGACATGTTCATAATTGTTTGTAGCTAATTACTCAGAATGGCTGATAGCTGACAGTAGTTTCAGCCAACAGAGAGCAGTAGAGATGCCGCCTGGTGGCAGTGTTTCTTACAGCTGCTTTATACAAATGCTACACTACATTAATTCTAAAGTACTGAGAACTGTATGTTTAACATCCACCTAGGGCACTTAATGGTTGTTGCTTCTGAAATGTTGCTTTTGAAAAACACACACGTGTAGGCAGGTTCATACATGAATGTCTATGCATGATTGCATGTGGGAATGATAATGTGATTGTGAGATTGTGCATGTGTGTGTGTAATTTTGTAGTACAGAGTGAATAAAACAGAGCATTTCCTGCAGCGCAGAGATTGAACCGATCCTCTATTTATAGCTGCCTGAAAAAGTCATACAGCACCGCAGCTCCTGCTAATCTCCTGTGTGTGTGTGCGCGTTTGTGTTTGGAGGGGGTAAGAGAGCTCAAGACAGAGACGAGAATACAGACAGTAATTTCGATTTTGTTTTTTGGTGCATTTTCGTTTTTCTGTTTTTTAAGATTTAATTATTATATTATAAATATTTGAAAAAAAAATCAATTGACATTGTCTTGTGTAAAACAAATATTTAAGCTCCATCATCACACATAATTTCTATTCAGTAAAGGTCTGTAGTGAGGGTGTATTTGATATTTTAATTAAATTTATTCAATATTATTTAAGCTTAGTGGATTGCTCTGCTAAAAAAAAAAAGAGCAGCGTAAATTTCCATTACTGGTCCAGTCAGGTTAATGTCGGTTAGTGCTGATTTTGTGCTTCTTGACCATTGCAGTCTTGCTGGTTAAGCTTGTAAAAAGCCTGGTGAGGACACCTACATGCTAGCATTCAATGATGAGTACCAGTATCCAAAACACAACATACACTACTATTCAAAAGTTTGCGGTCAAGAAGAATTGAATACTTGTATTCAGCAAGGACACCTTAAATTGATCAAAAGTGACAGGAAAGACATTTATAATGTTACAAAAGATTTAGATTTCATATCAATTCTGTTCTTTTGAACTTTCTGTTCTATCTATTAAATTATCTGGAAATTGAATGTATTATGGTTTCCACAAAATATTAAGCAGCACAACTGTTTTCAACATGATTTCTGAAGGATCATGTGTCACTGAAGACTGGAGTGATGATGACTGCTGGCATCACAGGAAGAAATTGCATAATAAATATATACATGTAACGGGGGTTCAGTTGTTATGGTAAGGAGGCGGGAACCGGTGAATGTTCAACAAGTTAAATAATAAAATAAACAAATACAAAATTAAAGTATAAGCCAGCAGCTCCTCACGGACGACTGCTGGCCACATAAAACAGAAATAAACACAACATAAAATCTGTCCTGTTCCTGCCACTGTCGTCACTCCTCCTTTTATGCTTCCGCTCGATGCAAGACCGGTGTGTCTCACAGGTGTTACTCATTATCACTCACGCCACCCGCCTCTGCCGCTCTCATGTCCCTCGGCCTCGTCCTACTCACTACAATACACATATACAATCTGTACATATATGTACAGTATACAGGCCTATTTATACAGTACCGGTCAAAAGTTCTAATGTGCTGATTTATTATCCATATTGGAAACAGTTGTGCTGCTTAATGTTATGACCTTTGATTTTTTTTTCAGGATATTTTAATGAATAAAAAGTTTAAAAGAACAGCATTTATTTAAAATCTTTTATAACATTATACATCTGTTCAAAAGTTTAGGGTCAGATAAAGTGTGATACCCTGGGGAATTTCACACTGCTGGAAAAGTCAGAAAGCCAGAACTAACTGTTGTTTGTGTGTGTGTGTGTGTGTGTGTGTGTGTATGAAGACGTCCGATGCAAAAGCCTCTAAAAGCCACCTCTGTCAAAAATGAGATAATAATATTGTGTGAATGCTCTCCGCACATAGTATACACTCATAAAATACACTTCACTTCGAATTCACTTCAAACTCACTAAATCCCAGCCTCCATTCAAAAATGCTGGTACTTGGGTAAAAACCTATGAAGGAGCCTGATATATATATATATATATATATATATATATATATATATATATATATATATATGTATTTAGCTCATGCTGGTCAGAAAGAGACTGTAATGATTGATCCCAGAGTGAATGAATAGTTATCTCTGTAAATTTTGTATAATGATCGTTGCCCTCCTGCATCCCCCAGCTGTTTGAAGCTTGTCTGATTGAAACAGAGATGTCGCTTACTGGGCATAAGTCTCTTCTGATTATGTCATGTATGTCATTGTATAACCCAACGGATTGGAGCTATTGTTTATGGCTCTCAATGGAAAACATTGAGTGAACCCTCAGAGCACTTTCAGGCCTAAAGCTGCTTCTGTCATGTGTGCTGTGCTGTGATTGTAGGATAACAGTCATCCTTTTGACTTTAGGGGCAGTGGATGCTCGAGATGTACTGATATGCCCTTTATCTCTCTGTATTTGAACTTTAGAAAGTCTTTCTTTTACTTCGCATTTGCAGTAAATGTGTCATTTGTCAGCCTTAATGATTCTAACACTACCTTTTCTCTTTCTTTTTCTGGGGTTCACTCAGTCACCTGGGTATTTCACATCAAAGCTGAGGCTTTCGTTAATTAGTCTTGTTTACCTTGATAATTGTGTGTTGTTTTTTATATCTGTTGTGTTAGAAGCACCACAAGCATGCAAAGCTACAAAATGTTGAGATTCTGATTTCCTTATACTGTATATATATATATTTATATATATATATATATACTGTAAAAGAAAAAAAGAATCTCAACATTTTGTAGCTTTTACATTTTGTTTTTCGAGGCCGACCAACACAAACCGAGGCATTGGGAAAAAAAGTATGTGTGTGTGTGTGTGTATATATATATATATATGGGTTCTATTCTTGTAAAATGTATAAAAACAGCACTATAAACAATTTCGTACATCATTATGTCCATTTGCTTCATCTGTTATTGCAAGAGGCTTGGATTTTATCTTCCTTGTCGATACTTAAATATAGTTTCTGCAGTTTTAATGACATGTTTGCGAAACCAAAAGTCAGGGAACTTTGGCTCACCTTCTTGTAATTAATCGTGTAATTAAATATCCTTTTTCCTCAGCTCATCCTTTTCCTTCTCATCCTCCTTTTCTCCTTCCATTTTTGTCTTCTTTTTATTTGGATGTTTCACTTCAACATTTTTTTATATATATATTTAATCAGTGGCACTATGTTCTGGATTATATTTTTCAGCAACTTTTCAATTCCTGATTTGTGGTTAGTTGCACACACGCAATCAGTCACACAGGCGCATGGCTGCTGATGCGTTTGGCAGGCATTATTGTATCCCTTAACTCCCTTGGGCATGAAATAACGATCTCTCGCCTATTCAACATTGAACATGCTTATGTTCAATTCAGAATCACACAGAATCGCTCATGAAAGGAATATTAAATTAATAAAAGAGGTAATTAGCCTTTGTGGTGTTAAGTGCTGAGTTTGCCTGGGTGAACTGTGGGTGAACAAAGTGACAGAAAGCATTGTGTTCTCTCTCTCTCTCTCTCTCTCTCTCTCTCTCTCTCTCTCTCTATCTATTTCTCTATCTCTCTCTCTCTCTCTCTCTCTCTCTCTCTCTCTCTCTCTCTCTCTCTCTCTCTCTCTCTCTCTCTCTCTCTCTCTCTCTCTCTCTCTCTCTCTCTCTCTCTCTCTCTCTCTCTCTCTCTCTCTCTCTCTCTTTCTCTTTCTCTCTCTTGTCTCCGTAATGTTTTTCCACCGGTTATGCTTTTCCACCAAATGAGATCAGACTGCTGCAGGGTGATACATGCACTAGTGGAGATCAAAGGATAGTGTCTCTCTCTGTCTCCACCTTCATCTCTTCATTTCCCTTTCTCTCGCATACTATAATTATATACTAAAAACACAAACAATATGCATCTAAACCTACATCTATATTTGTTTAGGATATTCCTCATCTATTAGGTGTGTTTTTTATTAACCAGGCTGCAATTGTGGGCCTTTGCATATTACTTGTTTTTTGTTGTTGTTTTTTTTATACTGCAAAGCCTTCCAAGCCTTAAAGAACAAGCACACAGTTAATTCTGATTGGTTAGCAGCTGTACCATGGCATTTGTTTTTGTTGGCTGCTGGTATAATGACTAGCCTGCTGTTATAGTGCCATATACTGTATTCCTCTTGATAATTTATCTGTGTGTGTGTGTGTGTGTCTGTTGTTTCCTCAGGGCTGCAGAGCTCCAAAGGAAGCGTGTTTCCAGTGACAGTTCTGTGGCAGAAGCACTTGCACACAGTGACTCGCTCAGATCAACCAAAGCAGCTCTCACCAGGTAAGAGCTACAGAGAGAACGTTTATGCTCCTCCAGAACACATCTCTCAAACTCCAGCCACGTGGATCAAGCTTGCTGCCACACACAAAAGTCTTCTTTTTTTTCTTTTCCAGGCTTATACAGTTCTTCCTGATTTGCATTTGTATGGCCCTAAGCAGAGTATTGAGTTCTGTGATAGTTATGAGAGATGCTGATCTGTGAATCTCAAGTTGTTCTGTGAAAGAAACCCTCTCTAGCTAAGCTTTATTGTAGCAAAATTATGGTTTATTGATAATATATACATTATGTAGTAGGGCTGGGTAATAAATATCGATTTCTCGATATTAATCGATTCTCATTTTTACGAACCGATATCGATTCTTAAATCTCAAGAATCGATTAGTCATCCTGTTTCATTTGAATGAATGGGACATTGTATCACGGCTGCGCGCATCCAAAAAATCGCAATAATCTTTGTCCTTTGTTACTATTGATATGAAACAAAGTCTCAATTTTCATATTACGTCCATTTTCTTTAGAAAATAGCAGCAGCGCTGATCTCTCTTCCGGTTTAATAATACCAGTCACAGCGCGAAATAAACATGAATGAGCATCTGAAAGTGTGTTAAAGATAGAGTACAACTTATCGAAATCCGTATCATGTCACATTGATTCGCCAATCAGCGTTTTAACCGTGGAAAGACGTCAGTTAAACAGCTTGTAATCAATGTCATGTATCGTCATATTTACCTCAGAAAACCCACATAAACTCTTTAGTCAGCTAGAAAAAATAACTCCAGAGAGCAGCATTTTGCTAAATATATACACCATATTACATATGCATTACAATCTTAATGTTCTTCAATATTTAACGCATATTTGAATAAATCTGGCAAGTTTTTTTATGACAGCCACCATTTAAATGTTTATATTTCATATAATCTTCTTATCATAAAAATAAATAAAAGTGTAATTTAAGTGTTTGTATAGCTACAAAACAGTTCATTATTACCTTCATATTAGGCTAATGAAGCCGAGTAGGCTACAACTAGACTCCCATAGTTTACATTAAGAGATTTGATTACCTTGAGAAAAATGGCCATTTATTGTAACTGATATCCAAAATAATCGATATTGAATCGAATCGAATCGGAATCGAAATCGAATCGAATAGCAAGCTTGTGAATCGAAATCGAATCGAATTGTGAAATTTGTCTCAATACCCAGCCCTATTATGTAGGGCTCGGCAGTATGAAATATCTTATCTGGTAGAGATGTTGCTGCAGTGTTTATACAGTGGTAGATATATTTAGGACTGCTTTATGTCATTTACATTGATGTTTACATACAAATTTTAAAGCGCAATGTGTCCCAAACAAGTCGGAATGTGGAAGAACTTGCCATTAATTGTTATTTATGACTGCAGAGCAATGTGTGTATAGCTAATCAGTTATTTTAAAACATTTAGAAACGTTTAAAATCTTTCAATCTTTGTTGCTCATCCAGGCAGTCAGTACCATCCTTTTTACTAATTTATTTGGCTATCTTTTGTTTTTAGCTCACAGGCTAGATTTTAAAATTAATTTCAAATGAATACTCGTATCTTTTAGTTGTTTTCCGAATAAAAAACGATGGATGAAGTACCTTTCATGTTACACGGCAGGACAGAAAGATATTAGGCTCTGCTTCATGTAAATGTGTGTGTACTGTACGTATATGCATGTGAGATTGGGGAGGATGAGAAAGGTTTTCTGTTAGATTCTCTACAGGGTCTCAGACCTCATAATGACATACAGAGAAAAAAAACGACCACTGGATACAGGCCAAGAGATAAAAATGCAAGAAAGCAGCTGGCTAACCTGTTAGCTTTAACTGCACAGAAAACGCAAGAAGGCATATCACTGCCTGACTGCTCTCTAGTCAGAAACCACAATCACAAATCTCGTTCTTGTGTGAAATCAGCTCTGCAAAGCACAGATGGCTGTCCTGGACTCACACGCTTCTTTGTGTTCCTAAATGATGGGTTCTTTGGGTCCTATTAAGTTTCTCCTAGGGTCAATAATATCTCTGTAAAGGAAACTCCAGTGTCTGTGGGTCCATTATGTAACATTTGTGTTGGCCATGAACTGATATGCTCCAGTGGGGTCTGGGCCACAACCCTGCCCGAGGGGAGGAATATCTGTCCAGAAAATAGATAATAGAACCACCCCTAGTTTTAATGGAGAAATGTGTCTGGATTACATTACATCACATGCACATGCTTGATGTCCTCAAAATGTCACACCAACTCAAACGCACAATGCACAAATTCTCAGGTTGTTTTTTTTTTTTTTAATTTGTTCCCCTCCTTGTTGTTATTTTCTTTTATGTGTGTTTTTATACATCTTTATTTATTAGTTTAATTGTTTTCCATGCTATGTACTGTACTGTATAACCTTCTGATTAGGGTTGTTCTACAGTTTTCTCAGCCCTAACTGCTTAACAGACTCTTTACATATTTTTTGTATTTGTACATTTGATAATTTTTTTTAAAGGACGATTGCAAGTTTGAAAATCTTCCAATGTCTGTTGATTATTTAAAATGCAACTTTAGCAGTGACGTTACCACAATATTTTAGTACTGAATTAATTTGGTCTTTTGATTTGCACTTTTCACCTGTATATATTTAACACTGCCTAGCCAATTGAACAATACACAGTGATCATGTGTGAATTGTTTGCAGCCAACATAAAACAAAATGCTTGCTCAGTGTCATGAAAATGACAAAGCAGCTCTAATGCAGCATTTTATTTGCAGTATGCAGTACTTAAAGCCTAAAAAACCTAAAATCTATGCTTCTTTTCATTGCTGCAAATCTAGTTTGTTCTGTATCACTGTTATGTTAAAAGATTATTGTTTATGGTAATGTCTTCATGATTTTATACATTCTCATTTATTTATGTTGTTTTTCGTTTAATTCTTTTGTTGTTTTGAAGGGTGGGGGGTGTTCATCGCTCAAATACAACAGCGGCCGATTTCAAACCTACCAGCAGGTGAGACAAAGCTATAAAGTCTATGTTTCTGTATTCCTGTCAGTTGTTTCTTCTCAGAGCTACTATAGATGTTAGTGTTGAAGTGTTCAAAGAGCAGCTCTGTTCTTTTAATCCCAGTCAGGATAGTTTCTGGCAGCCGGTGACTCTTCTTTATGTGAATTATGTGTCATTGCTGCAATGAGGAAATGAAATCCAGCACAGCAGGGCCACACCATGTCTGTTGCTGATTATTATTTTACCAGCCTGTTCTGTTCCTTATTAGGCCCTGCTGTCTCTGTTGACACGACTTTAGAGGGTCGAACTGACACAATCACACACAAGTACAGTTCTGTGGAGCAAAGAGTAGTAATTTACCATGTTCTGGTCCAGTTAGGCATTTCTAGTCTGGTGTGTTCATGTTTTGTCTTGTCTTGCATTCTCCGGTTTGATGTCTGTCATTCTATTAACTGCTGTTTGCTTTCAGACTAAGGGCAGAGTCACACAGAATGAATTTTTGTGTTTCAATGTGCTGCTTTTTGGTTTTCCATGTTATCATCTCCTAAACTGACATCTTTGACCATTGTGGCACGTCTCACTGCTTCTTTAGCATCTTGCATGAGCACCCCGTTTTTAAGATGTAGTGTCAAGTTAAAACCCTGCTTTTATTTTATTTGTTAGTAGCTCTTTTTTTCCCGATGATATTGTGTGGAATCTGGCTGGGGTTTTTTAAGTTTTTATTTTGGTATTTTTGTGGCACTGGTGAAATAGGATTGACAAAGGACCACGAGCCATGAATCAAACTCAGGTCCACAGAGGAGCAGTTCCGCTATACGTCAAAGCGCTGACAACGGAATCTGGCGTTTGAGCGGCCCATCTTAAAGGGATATTTCACCCAAAACTGAGAATCTTTGGATCACTAACTCGCCCCTCATATCTGTGAAGAATGAAAGATAGTTTGAACAATGTTCATACAATTGAAATAAAGTGTTCATTAACGTTGTGTTGAGTACCAAATGGTCCGTCACAAAGGGTTGGTATGACATATAGGGTGAGTAAATTACAGAGTTCTCATTTTTTGGTGAACTGCTCTTTAAAGGGTTAGTTCACCCAAAAATGAAAATTAAGTCATTAATTACTCACCCCCATGCTGTACCAACCCCGTAAGACCTTCGTTCGTCTTCGGAACACAAATGAAGATATTTTTGATTAAATTTGAGAGCTGTATAACTACCACATTGGCTCCTAAGGGACTGCCTCTTGACGGCCCAAAAAGTCAATGAAGAAAATGTTTAAATATCCCAAGTGACTACCGTGGCTCAACTATATGTTTATCAAGCGACGCGAATACTTTTTGTGCGAAAAAACAAACAAAAATAACGAGTTTATTCGACTATTTCTTTTCTTCCTTGTAGGCCAGAACGAGACTTCCTTAGATTTCCACGACGCATGCACAAGAATTGCGATCTGAAGTAGTGTAAGCTGGTGTAAGTCACTTGGGATATTTAAACATTTTCTTCATTGACTTTTTGGGCCGTCAAGAGGCAGTCCCTTAGGAGCCAATGTGGTAGTTATACAGCTCTCAAATTTAATCAAAAATATCTTCATTTGTGTTCCGAAGACGAACGAAGGTCTTACGGGGTTGGTACAGCATGGGGGTGAGTAATTAATGACTTCATTTTCATTTTTGGGTGAACTAACCCTTTAAGAGATGGCTTCAGCATGGTATAGATAAGCACAAAGACAGCTTGTTTAAATTGTGACAGCCTGAAAACCTCAATAATCTGTTCTTATACATCACTATCTCTTCTGTTGCTCATATTCTACATCTCATCAAAACCTCAAATCAGCTTAAGATGCTTGAAAGTTTGATTAAACCAGTATCCTCTCTCTCTCTATCTTCCTCTCTTCCTCTCTCTCTCTCTTCCTCTCTTCCTCTCTGTATCTTTGTCTACCAGGAAAATTGATTAGGTTTCTGTTGTAGTTGGTTTAACTTTGAATGAGAGCCGTAATTAATTAATGCAATTTTTATGTTGTTTTTCTGTCATACATAAATTAGGGATTTGTGTTGTCCTCTGTAATGGAATTATAGCTGGGCCCATGAGGAGCTCACATTCTGAGGCAGATTTACATCTGAACACTGATACTCAAAGCAAATAACAACAGGAGGAAACAAGAGCGCGCAAGAGAGATTAGCCCCTTATTTCCTGTGCAGGCTTAACGAACCATCTTTAATGTGGCGTCTGCAAATGGTAAATTGGAAGGACCATAATAAAGGATATATTGATGCGGAGAAGCAAGCGATGAAAGATACGCAAGAGCAGCGAGGGCAGTTTAATGGGGCATCGCAGCCTTCATTATCAAGCTGAGATCCTGATGCTGCCAAAGGCTGATTGGCCTCTAGTGAGCTGAACTTTGACCCTAAGAATCTTCCTATATTGAAGTCTCCTCTATTGGTATTTTATTCATAGCATGGGCCATCAAGCACCTCTAATTAAGACCTGGGGCCAGTTGCATAAACATAACCATTATGTTAAGACAGTGTCTTAAGAACTAGTATGACCAACTAGCAGTTAGTTAGGGTTAACTTCAGGCCCTGGTTAGGGCTAATCAGACTTACTGTTCCGTTTCAAATTAGACTAATGTATGTTTTTATGTAACTAACTTTAAAAAGTTATAAACAGACTTGAAGAAAAAAAATGGATGAATAACTTAGCAGTTTATGCTACTCACCCCTGTTTTTGTTTTTTTTAGACTTCTGTTCATACATCTCAGTGGTAATTAGAGAAGAACATTCCAGTCCACAATCAATACAGTAAAACTAGCTTGCAAATACCATTTGTCATATTTGTGAGAACTGGTGGGAGCTGGTGATCTGGCTGAATAAATGTCAGGCTGGTCCGGATTCAGATCGCCGTTTCTTTCTAGAGTTAATGAGGGGTTTCTGGACTCATATCGAATAATTGGTCCAATGTCACATTTCTACCCTTTCTGTAAATGTGCTAAATTACTAGCAATTACAGCTAGCAAAAACTCAATAACCCCATTAAAGCTGCCTTGAGCTATATTTTCAATGTTGAGCCTGTGTGTGTGTGCGCCGGGTGTATCAGAGTGTCTCTTAGAGCTGTGTTAGAGTGTGTTGTGAAAGCTGTCTGAGGAACGTCAGTAATTATAGCTGCCGTCTGGGTTACATACCAAGGGATAGTTCAGACATGTTTAAACACTGGATGATCATTTACACTAGGGGACTAAACCGTTACCAGCTTTCCATCCAGGACATGATGGTTAGAGATGCATTTGCCCTGATTTCAGGCACATGTATCATTCAATCTAGAGGATTGAATGACCTCATCAGATCGACTTTGCTCCCCATAATGTCCCAACTCCGCTGCAAGCATTTTTTCCATCTGAGGAAGAAGAGGTTTTATCGAAATGTGGATGCCTAACCGCTGCAAGTTTAGTGATGTGAATTAGCTTGAAATGGTCAAGTTGCTTTTCTCCTGCTGTGTTGATGCTGTGAACTCTCAGACACACAGGAAAATATTGGCTGATCTGAACATTCCTCTCTGACCAGAGATCAGTGTTTTTGTCATGATATATCTATATAGAAAGATACATTTTGATTGATAGCTTTTGATAGCTGAGAGTTATGAGGGATCTGAAATCCACTTACCTGAGCAAATTTCACTGCCTGGAGGCTGAACCTCAGCTGCAAGGCTGGAGGAGACATGCAAACATTCAGCAAAGGTGTGTGTTGGGAAGACATGTCAGAGTCAGCCCAGATTTATTAGTCTGTGAACTGCTTTTAATTATGGGACACGCTCAGATTCCTTAGCAAGGCTAAATCTCTCTCTCTCTCTCTCTCTCTCTCTCTCTCTCTCTCTCTCTCTCTCTCTCTCTCTCTCTCTCTCTCAATTCAATTCAATTCAATTCAATTCAAAATTGCTTTATTGGCATGACTGTACATCATACAATATTGCCAAAGCTTGGAATACATAGAATAATTATAAAGACATCAACATAGTAAAATAATATAGCATTTTAAATTGATTGTACAAATTAACAGTGTAAAATAAATAAAATGGAACAGTTTATGAACATTTAAAAATTCTGTTTTAAGAATTTCGAAAGACAATGCGTATGAGTGTGTGGTGTACAGGGGTGTGTGTTGGCGCATCACTGATTGGTCGTCGACTCTCTCTTTTTGTGACATGCATCAATGTATCTGGCTGCTAGTGTGATAGAATCTTTTTTTTCACCTAATAGATGTTGTAATTGTGTTTTGTTATTTAATTGCATGAATTTAGGGTAAAGTATTTCAAATTTTGTGTAAAAAGTCCCTCTAATGTCCTCATAGTTGGGGCAGCTGGTGAGGAAGTGTTGCTCGGTCTCCACTTCTCCCTGCTCACAGTACGGGCAGACGCGTCTCTCTCTGGGCCGCCAGTTCTCTCTCTCTCTCTCTCTCTCTCTCTCTCTCTCTCTCTCTCTCTCTCTCTCTCTCTCTCTCTCTCTCTCTCATTATTGTTTTTCAATTGACTGTGTTCTGACCTCTCCTAAATACCAGTTACATTTACTGCGAACCTTTCTTGTAAAGAATACCCCTTATTGGGTCCTTCTGTCAGAGGCTGTTACATATTTCCTTGTAGTGTGTTTCTGGCAAAGAAACCCGTCTAAGAGCTGCACAGCTTCTAGCAAAGTTCGAGATCCAAAGCCCTGTGCGCCACTTGTCTCTTTTCCTTAATGTCCCAGCCTTCTTAGTGTGGGGTGGGGAACCCTTTGATCAAAAATTCTTTCAGGTGAGAGCACAGAAAGATGCTCCAGTCAGCTGGAGGTCTGTTGGGGGAAGAGACAGAGAGGAGGTGTAGTGTCAACGATGGCATCATCGTCATAGGCGTGTTCGACTTCGACTGCGTCTGTCCTTACCGATCGGTGATATATCACGCTTGCATTTGGGGAGGAGTTAAAAAAGAAGCTGTCAAATCGATCACTTTATGCTTCCCATAGTGGCGCTCTCACGCAGTGTAATATTTCTCAGATAAACAGATGTTTGAATTTTACATGTAGCAAGCAGAAACGCTCTTCATTGAATAGGGTACATGCTGCTTGAGAAAAGATCAAGATAAGGTGTATTATTTAAATACCATTTTTATCCATTTTATTTTGATTAACATAGCATTTGTAATGATATGACATTATGATTAAATGAGCATTAGTGGAACTGATATTGTCATCTGTCTGACCAATTGTGAAATGGCTGTCGTTCTCAGAGCACAACCATTCTGGTAAAATGAGTCTGCTCATTCTCGCTGTACTTTAGTGGCATATCATATGTCAACACCTCGTCAAGTCAGACTGTCACGCACTGCTCAAGATGCCCATTCTGTGCAGTGCAATATGAAGTCAAACAGACGTAATGTCACACTGTTTATGCCACACAGATAGAATTGCAGTGACGCTCATTGAGTTTGCACTCTCTTCTCAATTCATCTCTTGCTCTGAGAGAAGAATATTATCAAGCTTATTTGAAGGTATCATTCTGTTGCTCAATAAATCTCTGAGATGCTGAACATTGAGAAGGGCATAAAAGAGTGCGTATGCATATGCATTGTAGCCATTCTTTCTTTCTAGGACCATTTAAAGATTATTTTAACAGCTTCGCCAGGAAAAACATCAGGAGATGATTCAAGTTGAGATTGATGGCTTCACAGAGTGTGCATCAAGAACTTTAGATTCAGACACGTGCTGTGAAGAGGTCCTCTAAAAGATTTGTGTTTCTTTACTGAAAGTGTTTCAATCACTCAGATGTTTCTGTTTCTCCCGCAGGTCTGAGAAGAGCACCCTGAGCAATGCGAATTCTGGTAAGGAGTTTATGTAGTGCTCTATTTTTGCATTCTGCTCTTCAGTGAATGAATATCATGTGAACTTTGGCTAATAATGTAAAATGGGAACGAATGAATAAATGTAAATGGTAACGCAGCGAGTGATACATTTTTGCATTTCCTTGTGAGAACTAGTTAAAGTCGCATAGACTCTCATGTCTCTGCTAGAAGCAAATTGGGGTCGCTACATATAGTGGAGGAGCAGCTCTTGCTCAGTGAATCATATCTGACTTTCATGGAAGGTGGAAGTTGAGTGTTAAACACTCCTTGGTTTTCGTTTTTGTTCCTTTTAATGAGCCGCTGCCTGTCAGGAGAGGGCATGTGCCAAGACTGTGGTGTTTTCCGCTCTCTTGGCACTGGTAGGGGAAGGAAAGGACTGTCTTACAGTCTGTGAGGTGCAGCGAGGCAGAGCAGGTTATCATCACTCACATTGATCCACATTAGAATTCAGCACTAGCTCCAAAGCATCCTGGCATGAGCATAGGAGGAATGCATTTCCAAAACCTGATTTGGCCATGTGCACGCTTTTTCTCTAGACAGGAAAAAAGACTCTTCAATTCCGTAAAGCGGCCGAGTTTTGAGAGCTGGATTGGAGAAGGCATATCTTTAGACACAGGCGTAGATTTAGCCTCGCATTCCTCTCTGCAGCGTGTGTTAGCCTGACATTCCAGCTGGGTGTTTTATTTTTTTTTTTTTTTACCTCTCGAGGTTTGTGAAGCAACACACAAGATTGCTGGATTAGGAAGGCAAATCTACAAAGGGCATTGCAAAGCTTTGAACACATATTTAGCATATTGAGACTGAAGCCTCTGAGCCAGCGTCAGCAAATGTGATTAACACCCGTAATTAAAATCGTATTTCTACTCCCTTTTTAACTGTCTGCTCCAGAATAAAACAACCAGAACATCATCTTGTGTAACTCTGAATAACTGAATATTAAACAAAAATTCATAAGCGATTTGTGCATGCAGGCAGTTTATGAATAATTATACCTTTAAGTAATAATGGAGTCATCAATTGTCATGAGGAAACTGACTCTAGTATTTGCACATTTTCTGGTATCACAGCTTTACAAATCTTCTTAAAAATAATTCTTCGCCTTTTGTTTTTTTATTCTTATGCCATAGTTTTCACACATCTGGTCACATTTCAGATTGGTAGATTCAGACTTTGCTTTAAGTTTAAAACTATTAATGTAACATTTTACAGGTGAAATTTGAATATTCTGCAAAGTTCATTTATTTCAGCAATTGAACTTAAAAGGTGAAACTAATATATTACAGAGACTCATTACATCCTAAGTGAGATATGTCAAAACCACAAATTGTGAAAAGGTTTTAATAAGCTGTAAGCCATAATCATCATAATTATAACAAATAAAGGCTTGATATATCTCCCTTTGCATGTAATGAGTCTCTGTAATATATTAGTTTCACCTTTTAAGTTCAATTGCTGAAATAAATGAACTTTTGCACGATATTCACATGTTTTGAGTTTCACCTGTATTTAACAAAATTTAAATGGTCTGTAAATCCATCACAAATCCATCTTCCAAACCATAATTTCACTACTGTAAGCCTATAATAGTTATATTTATTTTAGAGCTGTCGGGTGGATTTAGCAGGAACCTCGATACTTCAATCATTCATCCTCGCGTGTTCATGTCAAGTCTGTAAATGAAGGAAAGAAGGTCAGGTTATTACAATGTAAGTTGTCGAAGTAGCCTGAAGCCACAAATAACCCTTAAACTGAAAGGTGACCGTTTTATCAGAGGGAAAGCGACAATGCATGTAAGAAAACATGAATGAACAGCAGGCAACAATTTGCCTATAAATAGCCTATTAGCCTAGTTGAAATAGTTTCCACTGTTTACCTTATATAATATGAATATATGTTTTTTTTAGACCAATTGTTTTCAATGAGACAAAACAAAATATGCTTTAAAGCTACTTGCCTGCTCGTAAGACATTTTTTTGCATATCCATCTTTCTTTTTTTTCTTCATTGGTTTATTTATTTATTTGGAGTGGGGGAGGCTCAAGTTTTGATGTTGTTAGTGACATTTGCACTCATAAGACGATCGTCTGTAAACATGGGCACAGTGGTGCGCCTCAAGCTATCAGATTCATCTGCACAGAATAGCAGGAGCCGAAGCACAACTCACACAATCACAAAAACAATGTTCCATAAAAATATATATACACATAAAAAAGAAAAACTTATACTGTTCTGGTCACATTTCATCTTAGTAAATCTCCTGCTTTAATTCCACATAAGTAATAACATCAAAATAATTTCAAGATCAATTAAGGTGGCCTCCATTAACTCTGGAGAAGTCTCCAATGCTGATTACATATTTTTCACACATCTGATCACATTACATTTTGGTAAACAGTCTGCTTTAATCATTAAGTAAAAATGATCAAAACAAGTTTAAGATCAGATAATTGACAAAAACTGTATAAAAAAAGAAAAAAATATGCTCAAATCTCCATTAATAAAGTACTTTCTTGTTTAACAGTGTCAGCAGACAATCTAATCGAATGTGTGAAAATGAAGGACCACCAGAAGGTAAGAGCATAATTTGAATACATTAAGCACATAAACAACCTCACCCTTTCACCTTCTAGGTTCATCAGACTTTTGACACATTTTTATTTTTTATGTACAAATTGACTTGAAAGAACATGCATATCATTTGAGTATAGCTCGAATGTTGTGTTTTACAGTAATTTAAAATGCAAGAAAGCAATCCGTGTGCTTTTTGTACTCGGCCTAAAGGATATTTTGTCGTCTCTAACGCTGGACTGACCTCACCATTAAATGTCAAGAGAGCGGAGGCGGAACCAGATAAATGATCCTGCATATTCTCTTGACCTTTCACTGGTTCTTAGTTTCTATGGTGACCAAACAGGCTTTCCCCAGAATGATAATCTCTCACATCCAGCCCTAAACCTGTTCTGGTACAGAGTAGAGAAGCAAGGACTTTTCAAATAATAATGAGTACACCACAACCCTTACCTGTCCCAATGCGTTTTCTTTAAATTAAGCTTCTCTGTGTCCTTACAGCTAGACTATTGAGTAGTAAACACTCTCTCTGACATTGGTATCTTCATCGGTAACACTTTACAATACAGGTGCACTAATAAGAATTAATTCATGTTGAACTAAAGCATTAATTAATTATTACTGCATCAGCAACTAATAAATAGTCTATATGATTAACAGATTAAGTAATAAATGAATTGCTATCAATTAAATGTGTCATCATGTATTATTCCTTAACAACATAGTTTATTAACTAATAGTGTAAACGAATGTGTTAATTACCACAATTAGTCAACGCTATGCACTTTTATTTATGCACTGATTGAATTAATCATTTGCTAATGATTTGCAAAGGTATCATGTTATGACTTTACTTGTTGAGGCACATGATTCTTAACTAATTGTTAAGTAATATGGCATTATGGTTATGGGTTTTGTCATTGGGCAGTTGCACATGCAGTGAGTGCAATGTCAGAGAGTGTTTGAAGGATGGGTAAGTTGGGCCGCCCACAAATATCAGCACACCAGAATACTGACGCTGTTACACTGTGTTTAAACTGGACGAGAGACCATTACAGCTGTCTACACCTGACATGACAGACCATTGCAAGTCCATTTGTCCTTCTATCAGAAGTAGCGCAAGAGTGCTCGGAGTACGTCAGAAATAGAGTGGCATCGGTTTACTGTCAAGGTTTGATGCGACGTGTAGCATAGTGTGTTGTATCCAGTGTTGTATCACTGATTATAATGGGTTCTAGTTTCTTTGTCCGGTCTAGACACAGTGTTATGAAATAGCAGAGCCCGGCCGCATATTCTCAGTGTTCTTCCTTTAAATCCTAGAGCTCAAGCTTAACCTGACACATGTGCCCTGAACTGTTGGATACAGCGGTTCATCTGCCACCGTGCAATCTAGAGGTAGAAGGCAGAAATTGAAATCCATTGTGTAGATGTCAAAATAAGTTAATAGTCATGTGCCTAAACAAGTAAAGTCATAACATAATGATACCTTTGCAAATCATAAGCTATTGATTAATTAAAGCAAATCGGAAGTTAAAGTGCATTGCACTGACTAATTGTGGTAATTAACACATTCATTAACACACTATTAGTTAATCAAATATGTTACAAAGAAATTAATACACAATGACACTTTGAATTAATAGCAGTTTATGTATTACTTAATCTATTAATCATATAGACTCATTATTAGTTGCTGATGCAGTAATAATTAATTGATGGTTTAGTTCTTCATTCGTCATACATTTACTCATGATTATCTGTGCATTAGTTAAACATGAATTAATGCATCCCGTGCATTAAAGTGTTACCAATTGATCATCATCCAAATGAAAACTGGCGAATAAAGAACCTCTGATTATACTAGACTCACTGGACTAATGATAATGCCAGTATAAACTCACTGTGGTGCAAGAGTCCTGGCAGATTTTGGGCTTTATCGCACCGAAAGGTCCGTTGAACCTATTGAGACTGTCACGTTTGCTATCAGCCTTCAGCCAAACTTGTGCTTTTCTCCTTGAGCACAGTGTTTGAATTACTATGCAAACACTTTGGAAAAATTAATGAGCCTCAGTGATCCATGTGGCTTACCATAATGATGCTCTCTCTATGGTTTGCCATTGTTTGGGGATGTGTTTATCTCAGTGTTGGTTTGTTTAACTGGCAGCTTTTTCTATGCAGTTGAAGGAGCTGCATAAGATGGGGGCAGACCTGTGTGTGCGGGACCCTGTGGGCCGTACCCTACTGCACTATGCTGTGGAAGTGGGCAGCAAGGAGATTGTCAGATACATCATTGATAATGGTAAATGATCACATAACACATGTCTGTAACAATTTAAAAATGTATCTGGCATCCACAGAATGTCTTTGTCGCTGCAGGTTTTTTTGCCTCTTGTTCTTTCTTTTGAATGATCATTGTAAAATATGTGGAGTAGATCTTTGAGAGAGTATGCTGACAATAGCTGCGTTTCCATTACCCTTCAATTTGCGCAAATTGAAATTGCGAAATGAAAATATGCTCAATGGAAACACGTCAATTTCGCAAAAACTCCCTTTTATCGCAAAAAAGTTTTTACGCTCACATGAGGAGGTTTTTCAGGCAATTCGAAAAAGGATTTTTTTCGCAAAACTGCAATGGAAACGGATTTTGCGCATAAAGGACGCTTTTACCCAAAAAAGGAACAAAGCAATTCGTCACATCTCATCAGTACAGGTTGGACAACAATAATAATAGAGCTAAGATTATCACAAATAAACACTCGATTTTGACCAATATCAAAGAGTGTGTGCGGAGTTTGGAGCACGCACTGGATGGCAGACAGTCGCGGGCGCACCGTGAAAACTTTCATTTTCCCATCAACAGTGGAATAAATACTCCATCATTTCTGGTTATACAGAAAATAATAATACATTATATTCGCAAACTAATTTTATTTGCGTAATGTCACAATAACAAGAAAACGTTATGCTTTTGGAAAATAAAATAAAACAATCAGGTGCGCTTTATGATCTTCATGAACTGGAGTGCGAGAACTGAAACAATAGCCTTTACAGACTAAAGCTTTAAATGTCCACTTTAAAAAGAACAAATTCAAATCGTCAGCTAATACCTTCTGATTATGTAATCCGTATGAAAGGTGCAGCTCTCTCCGGAGATTGTTTTTAGCTCGTTATTTTTTCAGACGCATTTAATAACTCACCTATACAGCACTGCGTGACAAATATCATAAATATCCAGGTTCTAATTTGGCCTTAGAAAACCAGTAAAATCTACATTTTTTTCCCATATTAATTTGTGAATATTTTAAATGTTTTAAAGGGGGTAAAAAGTCATAAACAAATATCTGAAAATTCGTTGAGATGTATATAGCGCAGCATTGGTGTGGTCAAACTAAAATGTTGGTGTTTAACTTTGCATTTTAAAAATATAACAACCGTTCATTTTTCGTTTTGCAACGACCGTTTGGGACACAATACGAGATAGAGTTCTTTATTAAATTCATTAAAAAAAGAAACAATAATTACAGGAATAGCCTCTCTAAACCTCAAAGAAATCCCATCAAGACATTGAAGCAGAAATAAGGGAGAAACATCAGGAACGCCGTGTCTTTCCCTGCCATTAATGCTTGGATAACACACCACGTCTCCTTCCATTAATAATAATAATGTCTAGTGCGGTGCATGTCTGTGTTATAGGTTATGAACCTACCAACATCCGTTGCCTTGATTTTTGGAATGACTTATCGCAAGAAGGAAAAAATAAGACGTTTTAGTCACATAACACCGTCATTTTGCAATAGTTTTTCATCGACGTTTGGAAAATATCGCAAAATTTTTTTTGCGCAAATCTGTAATGAAAACGCGCCTAATGTGAGTTTTACTTTACTCTTTCAATTTCAAATGAGCTTTATTAACATGGCTGTGTAGCACAATATATATATATATATATATATATAGCATAGTAAATAAATAAATATCCATCTACATTAAATCGGGTCTTTCAGTGAATTAACCATGTATAACATTGTGAACAGCTTACACATATTTAGCAGTAGAGTTGCAGTTGTTCTATCATCTTCTCTAAGGCAATTTCTCTTAAATTGTGGTATATAGGACTGATGAGGACGAAGTGTCTCTCATCCTCTGTTTGGTGTAGATTACAGTGTCTACTGAACCCTTGCTCTCTCTGTGTCCATGTTTCTGTATGCTTTCCTTTTTTTCTATTTCTAGATTATAGTCACTTAATTTGTATCTGGGGAGGGTTTGTCTTCCTTTAAATTGTTTAGTTAATAAATAATTGGTCAATTTAGGGGTTCTATTTAGGGTTGAATAAAAAAAAAAATCAATTTGACCACCAAAATAGACCCCAATGTTAGTGTTTTGTCAAGAGTAACTTTTCGATTTTGTCAATTTCTTTGATAAAAGTTTTGGGGGGTAGCTGTATTCAGTCGAGAGTTGAGTTTAATGGACTAGCATGAAGATCATGTGTTTAGAGTCTGGTTTCATTGGGGAGGAGGCCTTTATGAATCAGGATGGACTGATGGAGTTGATGCCAAAACTGAACACATCATTTCTAGACCTCAATGTTCAACTGGTACAAGCCTACTTCATCCCTGCAGGCATCAATGGAAATCTAATTCTCTGGCAATTTCTATGAGAAAATTTTAAATGAAATTGTATCCCAATTTAAAACTGTTAGATCCCCAAATTCTCATCTATATAAAATAATTTGTTTTATTATTGAATTATATAATTGTATCCACGTATTAGTGGGTAATTTTATTTGACTGACTTTATAGCATAAAAATCCCTCAGTGATTTGATAGCCAGACGTTAGCCTCCCAAAGAGCTGATGTCGATGCCCAGATAAATATAGCTACTGCTGTAGGATCTGCTGTCCTTTATAACCATGACTCTGGTTTTGTCCAGATTGACTGTCAAAGCACTTGTGACAGAGCTGTTCCAGTTCTTTTTCAGTTTAGTTCCAGGTTTTAGTTCCCATGAGGATCATATGTAGTAAAATGTCATTTTCATTCTCTATCATAATGTTTCTTCATTTAAATTCTTTTTTACAGTTAATTCCACGTTTTGAATTTTTTCCCCGTTTTCACAGACAAGACTTAAACTATATTCCCAGACTAAAATGCATGTTTGTTCTGTTTTAACTGAAAGCAACTTGCACTGGCATATCTTAAAATATATATTAGTGCCATTTTTTTTGCCTCAAGATGCACATCAGTAATATTTTTTTACTACTTAACTACTCAAATGTCCTAATTAAATTAAGGCCTAATCCTTAATCTACTGACTTGAATCCCCACCCCAGACAAACATGCATGATTTTGTTTGTTTACAAAACTAGTATACATTTTTGGACGCACCTACTTATTCTTTACTATTTTTCTAAAGTGTGAAAGGTAGTAATAATATAATCATAAACACTATGACAAATGGATTATCTTATATTTTAGATTCTACAAAATAGCCACCCTTTGTCACCGTTTGTCTCTGTCCAGGCCTTTAGATCAACAGGTCTCTGAACGTAGACGGATTCAGGTGTGTCCAAACTTCTGACTGGAGTTGTTTGCTACTTTGCTTTCAATTGCTGTTATGCCCATTATCTGTGGTGTGTAGGGGGTTGATGTGTGAAGCAGGTCATCTCCCTCTCCCACGCAAGCTTTTTACAGCTCTTCATTAAGCAACACACCATCACCTCAGGGCACATGCTTTAGTGCGGTTGCAAGGTTTAATTTTTATTTTTTTCTCTCTTTTTTCCACAGCACCCACCGATATTCTGGATGTAACGGAGAGAGAAAAGTGAGGCCTGTTCTGTCATTTTGTAATGCACATTGATGCCATTTGATATTTTTATCTGTTGACAGGAAAGGTTCAGGCTTTTGTTTTATGATAGTATAGTCAGGCCTGGCTCACTCAAAAGCTTTTTCGGGAATTATCTTGAGATTAATTTTTAACACCCTGTTTATTTCTCCAACTTGTTTTTCTATATTCTTCTCTTTCTGTCTGTTCTTTTTTTCTCTCTCTCGCTGTCTCTTTACTTTTTATTCAGCGGAGAGACGGTGTTGCACAAAGCGGCCTCGTTGTGTCATAGGACAATCTGCCATTACCTAGTGGAGGCGGGAGCATCTCTCATGAAGACAGACTTACAGGTGAGATGGACATGTAGAGAAAGACAGTTCTTGTTGGATGGTAGATAAGTCAAAGGGTTATTTAACCCCATTCCAAGCCCATAAGACATGGTTAATCTTTAAGTTAACACATCATATAAAGCAATTGTATCTCTTCACAAGACTTGGATTAAACTGCTCGATTTCAGGATGCCTTTATGACCTAAGTTTTAGTTTGCTGAACTTTCAATGGAGGGACAGAAATCGCTCTTAATAAAAAAACATCTTAATTTGCGTAGAAGATCTTCTAAACAAAGTCTTGGGGGTATAGAAGGACATAAAGAGCGAGTGAATGATGACATTTTTGGCTAAAACATCCCTTCAATGTTTTTAGAGGTCTACTTACAAACACAGAATGAAGCCTCATGACCAGGGCTGCCTTTCCCAAAAACATTTTAAACCTAAATTGATCATAGAACAATTGCCACCAGTGATCTCTATGATCAACTTGGGCTGAGTTTCCCAAAAGCATTTTAAAGGATTAGTTCACTTTTGAAAAAACTTTTGCTGATAATTTACTCACCCCCATGTCATCCAAGATGTCCATGTCTTTCTTTCCTCAGTCGAAAAGAAATTAAGGTTTTTGATGAAAACATTCCAGGATTTTTCTCCATATAATGGACTTCAATGGGAACCAGACGGTCCGAGGTCCAAAAGACAGTTAATAACAGTTTCAGATGCAGCTTCAAATGTCTTTAAACGACACCAGACGATGAATAAGGGTCTTATCATGCGAAACGATCGGTTATTTCAAAACTTATTCCAAAAATGTAACTTTTCTAAGGACAAATGCTAGCCTTGCTCTATTCTGTGAGGCGCCTTTGTAACGTCACGTAATACGTAATTACGTTCAAAAGGTCACGGGCGACGTAGCCAGAAGTACAGAGTCAGAGTGTTTACAAGTTGAACGCATAGGTTGAACGTGCAAACTAACTCAAACGCCGTTTACAAAAAGGGAATTAAAAGGTAAAATGTCGGACGATTTTGACTCTGTACTTCCGGCTACGTCGCCCGTGACCTTTTGAACGTAATTACGTACTACATGACGTTGCAAACGCGCCTCACCGAATAGAGCAAGGCTAGCATTTGTCCTTAGAAAAGTTACATTTTTGGAATAAGTTTTGAAATAACCGATCGTTTCGCATGATAAGACCCTTATTCATCGTCTGGTGTCGATTAAAGACATTTGAAGCTGCATCTGAAACTGTTATTAACTGTCTTTTGGACCTCGGACCGTCTGGTTCCCATTGAAGTCCATTAAATGGAGAAAAATCCTGGAATGTTTTCATCAAAAACCTTAATTTCTTTTCGACTGAGGAAAGAAAGACATGGACATCTTGGATGACATGGGGGTGAGTAAATTATCAGCAAAAGTTTTTTCAAAAGTGAGCTAATCCTTTAAGCCTACTGTATGTCTGATGCTGACAAAAACAGAAGGGGAAATAATGTCATAGCTTTGAGTATATCTATTGACATCCTTTCAGAAGTTTGTGTTTGTTATGGGAATTTAGGAAGGAATCATTTTGGTGAGCTCCGAAAACAGATTCATGCCGACCCGATTCACTGGAGACATTCGTGGCTTTTGGATCTGCCTCATTTTGGTTGCAGCCCTCCAGCTGGTCTGTATCCCTGAACGTCTCAGTTATTCAGTGCTGACTAAAGACCTCCACATGAAACAAGGAGCCATTCTTCCCCCCCAGCAGCCCACCCTCTCCCCCGCTCACCTCCACAGAGCCAGCCAAGAGACTCAAGCTCTCCTGCAGCACTTCTGATTGGTGTACCGCAAAATTACACACAGCTGTAGACACACTACACTCTAATTACAGCCTCTCTTCTTTTCAGAAGAAGACTACTTATTTGAAGAGATCTGTGATTGAATGATTTTCCAAAAACACAAAAAATCTCATTTGTGGTTAGAGCTCTCAGCAGTACTATCCATCGCTCTTGCTCGCTCTCATTTTCCCCCTGTAGTTTTGTACCTTTGCACCACTGGGCCTTACTGTAAGAGTCTGATCTAAAGCTCACAGCAGTCTAACGGACATTTCCCAGCTCCCATCTGATAAATGTGTCTCCCGAGTGCAGATGCACTGTCTGACGGCCTTCAGTTCTATCTCTGTAATTATCAGTAACTCATGTGCCGTTGAGGGAGACGAGTCTGAGAACGGACCGAGACGGAGATGTTTCTCTTCGGAGGATATCCCATGATTTTCATCTGCCCTCTTCAGGGAGACTGTCCTCCTGACAGACTCGAACTGAACAAGACCTGATTTAGTGGTGCCAATTTCCTGGACTGTGGTCTGTTGCGTTTAACAGCTCCATCAGCACTTTTCTGCTCCGCTTTCCCCCTGTTTCCATCAAATCTTAGGATCCTGGACTCATTCAATCCAGAGAACATCATATCCAGGAGAGAGTGACTCATCGTTCATTTCCCTGTGATGAAGCGCAATCCTCCTCTCCAACTCTCCTCCCTCTCCCTTTCTCTTACAGTCTATCCATCTGTCTTTATATAATAAGCATCCCCCATTATCCTTTCCATCATTTTTTTCCCTTTCCTCCTTTGTGACTTGCATGAGAATGAATGCATGCTGGTTTTTAAAAGCACTATAAAAGTATGATTATATTCCTGTTCGGCATACCCCGCAGGGATCAGTATCTCAACCACAAAGCGCTTTTTTCTCCTGTGTAACTCTTAGTTCATCGTGGCTAATATTCTCCATTGTGCTTGCTACAGGACTCTGTAGTTTTTGACAGCTTTTCCAGAACTGGCTTTGTCTGCGTGTGAAAGGCTGAAAATGGAGGGTTGCAGAACCTCACTTGCATAGTATGAAAGGGTGCTGGTGGCCGTTTGTACTGTATACTCTGAACAAAAGCAGCTTCTTCTGTGGAAGAACAATGAAAGCGCCTGGCGGGCAGTTCGAGTGCTCTCAGCTCTGTTAGGAACAGTCCAGGCCTTTCTCTCATACTCTCCGCACCGGGCCTGCCTGCAATTAACAACAATTACCGTTGAGCAATGCTGGCACTAGCAACATGGAAAAACAGAGGCGTTTTCTGAGAACGTGTTTACCATTAGAGGCTCAGTGTAATCTTTGATTTCCCTTCTTCATTGTTCATGAGAAATCTGTCTGAAAGTAACTATCCCAAATTAAGACCTGGAGCAAGCAGATATTCTCTGTGTATTTTGCTTCAGTTGACGAAGAGCAGTTTAATTATAAGTGATGTCAACTTTCTTTTTAACTTCTCAACATTTGATGTGTTTGAAATGAACATGTCTCTCCATTTCCAGGGCGACACTCCAAAGCATCGTGCCGAGAAAGCGAATGATGCAGAACTTGCGGCATATCTTGAGAATCGCCAGCACTACCAAATGATCCAGCGTGAAGACCAGGAGACTGCAGTTTGACCTTTGACCTCAACCAGTGTCCTCCTTTTTGTGCCAAAACAACAACAGTAACCAAAAAAATGTATCTCGAAACCCATCGCAGGCTCTCTGGACTGCACAAGGGGGCGAGGGGGGATTGATTCCCAGAGAGGGGAGACGTTCGGACGCTTAACTCTCTGAAGAGGTCCCTAGCTTTTATCATCATTCTCTGAATGACCTGTTGAACTTAATGTCGTTTATTTCATTGCACTGCCAAAACATCTTAGAGTTTGTATGTCTGAAACAGGATGCAAAATTCTCTCCATGTTAATGCACTCATCAAGTTAGCTTTCTAGTTTGACAATGCTGAATGTTAGATGAACAGAATGAGGATCTCGAAGATGTCCATGGGCTGTGTGTGTGTGTGTGTGTGTGTGTGTTTGTAGATCAGGGCTAAGGTGAAGGCTCTTGCTACATGTTATGGCTGAACTTTAGTCTGGTCAGTGGTCCACAACATGAACCAGAACTCGAAACAACATTTCAACGTAGCCGACTTATTTCCTAATAACAGTAGAGCCATTAAATAATATGATGTTAATGTATAATGTAACTTTCTAGATTCTTCTGCACTGAAAGAGTTCAGGGTGGTTCAAAGACGGGAAGGTTTTCCTTGGGCCTTGGTTTTTTAGTATGAGAAGGATTTAGATCTTTTTCAGGTTTGTTTATTGGAAGGATTTTGCCTTTTCATACAGTAGATTTCTGTGCAGTTTCTAATAAGAAATTTGGTACTGTAAATGTATGCGAGTATCTTTCTGTTTAAGAGGCATTTTTGCACTGTAGCTTCGATTGCCTTCTTTATTCTATGATATGGATTTATTATTGATGTACTAAATATAGCTTCTTTCCTACAATATTTTGAAGTAAATAGATGTTTATATAATTTGTAGCTATAAAAAAATGTGTGTCGTCATGTTTGTATTATAAAACTCTGTAAATTAGATTTTGGTTTATTGGAGTTTCAGCATTTTTCTTAATTCTTTGTGATAAACCAACACACTCTATAAGAGTTTGTTTATTGGTTTGTTTTGTTGTGGGTTTTTTTTTTTCTGATGTCTTAATACAGATTTAAGATTTTAGGATGCTAATTATTTTCCTAAAAAGATAAATATTGAAAATATTTTGGCCTTCAAATGTAATGTATTTAATAATATTGGTCATTTATAATGTATTTCGGTAATTTACATCACAGAATGAAACCCTTCTTTGTCCAGAAAGGTTACTACTTCATTAATGATATGACCCACTGATTTCAAAGTTCTTTACAATAAATGTCATTATACAGGATGTATGCATATTCACAATGTATAACACATTGTATTTAGCTCAGTTCTATTCTTTCTTTGGAAAGAATTTGAAAAGTTTGAGTGTTTAAACAACCACCCATTCAACCCTTTTACCCTGACAGCTATTTGACAGGAGTCTTGATGAATGACATCACAAACCATACACACTGAACTCACTGAACTCTTACATTGGGCATGTCTTAATAAACATGGAATATGTCTTAAAGAACGATTTTTTATAGTGTGGAAAATTGTCCATGATTTTATTTTTTCTTTTATAATGTTTAATCTGAAACCCCAGTATAAAGGTTGATCATGTGATGTGCATAGGATAAGAACACATCTTGGTTTTGATGATTGGTGTTACTTAAGAATTCCTGTAATGGAAAAGCTGCTGATGTAGTTCAGACAGACACAGGTTAACAGATGCATTCTGGGAGAGGAAAGCTGAAACTTTAATTGGCATTCAAGCTAACAGTACTTTCTATTCCATCATACCAACTTCATTCCTTTACCAAAGAATGTTGATCATTTAATTCTACTATTTGAGATAAGCAGCCTACAGGAACCTCTCACCCTCATAGATTGGAGGGATTAAGGGACAAGTTTCAATTTCTTCATAATTATAATAATCCTAAAACTAGAGTTTTTCAGACTGATAAGCAGGACAGATTGCATAGATTTGCCCCAAATATTTGAATTAATTTCTAAACACTTTTATATTAGCCTTTTTCTCTTATGTACTGTAATAGTTGGAACAAATGTTGTCACTTAAATCTTAGAAAGCAGTTGTATTGAGTGTCGGATCTAACAAAATTCAGTTTGTTACAACTTTCTCTCTCTCTCTCTCTCTCTCTCTCTCTCTCTATGTTTCTGTAAAACTTGTAATAGATTTGGATTTTATTTGACATAGGTAACTGCCTTTAATTTCTTAGATGATGTACAAATATTTGTATGTCCACAGTTCTGTAGCTGATTATTAGCAATATACATTTTGACTGGCATTGTGACGTTCTGCTGCATGAACTATCCAGAACTATTAACTCAGTGAAGTGGATATTTGAATGGCCAGTTTTATTTCTAGACTGCTTTTAGCGTATCATTCTAACACCTCTAAGGGCAAGCGAGTCCATGTCCCTGCATAAGCCCACTGTGGTCACCGAGTTATTTAGTCTGCTGTTAAGATTTTATCACCCAGACTTTAATGATAGGTTCTTTTGTTTTGTTATTGATTCATCTACTCTTTGGCATGTTCAGAGGAGATTGCAAGTAGTTCTGGCATATTTCACTTGCTGTGATTTTTGTCCAACCAACAGATTATGGTTATGTATATTGCTTCATTATACATAATTCATACTTGCATATTTTCTCAAACAGCTATTTAGGGCTGGACTTTACATGCCCTTTCTTATTAACAGCTAAAGTTTTTAATGCATAGCTCATTTTAGCATTTCATTATCAATACTGTATGTCAGCAACCATTAATTACATGCATCTAATATGCTGTTTTACTTCTTGTAGTAGAGACACTTTTGAACATTGTCAACATGATCAATAAACACCCCTTTATACTTTATACCATATTATTACTTAAGAGATATAGATTTTTGGAGAAATTTCCGTTCTGTTATGAAAAAAACTTTACTTTTACTTTCAATGGCAAAGCAATGTAATATGTAGTATGAATTTCTGAATGTGTTTTGTTGCTGTGTATTTTTAGCTGTAGAGATGCATGAGAGCAGTAAGAAGAGGAAGAACTGTCTTTTTCCTTGATTTACAGGGAAAATTATCTGACATTGACACTAATTTGTGTCTAGTTTTATTTTTAGTTAATTTTTTTGCAGTGCAATGTAAAGCTAGAATTTGTTAGATGTTTTGATAATGAGAAAGCAGAAAGCATAGGTTCCAGTGCAATACAATATATTGGGTTTTAAGAAATGTTTTATGAATTTTCTGTTCTGTAACAACATGTAGTCAATATTTATCTCTTCAGCGATCTTATTTTGTTACTGTCTGGTTATTAACATAATAAAGCATACTGAATATTTCATTCTGCACAGCAAGGTCATTTGTTGCTTGAAACACCTTAAAATATCGGTAACACTTTACGGTAAGTAGCTGTCATGAATTCATGTATAAATTAATGCATGAATTATGCATTATTTCTCATGAATCAACAGGAACTAACACAAGTTCAATATTTTTCATTCATGACTTCATGAATGAACAACACCTTAATTAGAACATTAACTAAGATACGCACATCATCATGAATTATGATGTTTATTACGCATGATCATGATGTTTTCTTTGTTCTATGTCTAGGTCAGTGACCTAGTCACCACTTTAGTTAAGGGGCCACACCTATGATTAGGGTTGGGTATCGTTTGAATTTGAACGATTCTGATTCCGATTCCGATTCTTTGTTTCGATTCCGGTTCCTAACGATTCCGATTCTTCTAAGAGGCAGGGTCAAAAAAGTTTAGCTAACCTTGCAAACCAACGGCCTTTCTGAAGGAAACACTCCTTCTGTAAAAATACTCCTTTTGTCACAAATTTTGCATTTTGCCGAAATTTCGTTATTTTTAGAAAAGTGAAGCCACACTTTGGATCGCCGACGTAAGGTACTCATGTTCGACTCGCGTGGTTATGCCAACACTTCCGGTAGACGCTTCTTCGTTGGTGATGTTCAGCGGTTTCTTCTTCCGCTCGGCGGACTGTGAATATCGAAACTAGGAATCGAAATTTTAACTTTTGAACGATTCCGGGAAAAACGAAAAGTTAGTCTCGGTTCCAATCGATACTCGATTCTCGATACCCAACCCTGCCTATGATGAAGTCATTAATAGATTAATGCTTGGTTAATGATGACTACTGTATTGGACAGACACCATAATAGACCAATCACAGCTCATAGCACACACATTCTGTTAATCAAATAAGCATTATCAATGACTTCATCAAGTGGTGACTAGGTCCTTTGAAACACTGATGAACAATGTGATATTAATGGTGGCATAACTGTGAACAAAGAAAACATCATGATCATGCATAATCATAATTCATGATGATGTGCGTATCTTAGTTAATGTTTTAATTAAGGTGTTGTTCATTCATGAAGTCATGAATGAAAAAAGTTGAACTTGTGAGCATAATTGATGCATTCATTTATACATGAATTCATGATAATTCATGTACCCTTACCGTAAAGTGTTACCAAAATATCCTTAAAAAAATGATATCCTAAAATATTGGACCTTGAATGGTCTTTCTGTCCTTATCATTATGTGAAGAATCTTTTTAAAGTAAGAATTTTGTGGCTCAGAATCAGAATGAGATCTGATCATCAGTTGAACAGAAAGACCTCTTCAGAGTAAACAATCCTTACACCTGTTGTTAATTTTGTAATGTTCACATAGAAAAAAAAGGTACAAAAGCTGTCACTGGGATGCAACCATTACACCTTTGTACCTACAGTATATATGCATGTGTGAGCTTTGTTTTGAGGAGCCTGTAAATAATTTGTATTCTTCTGTATTGAACACGTCAGCTCTCCCACGCGTCCACAGGTTGATGGATGTGAGGCTTTGGTGTCTGATACAGCTACTTAATTTTAATATATTTGAATCATCCTTGGAATGCATTAGTGACATTTCCCTCAGACTCTGAGACTGACTTTACTTTTGTCTTGGCAGGAGGGAGTTGCCAGCTCAGAGATGAGAGGCAGGTATTAATAAGAGAAATGCAATTGCTGTCTCTGGCTTCAGGCTGTGCGAGAGGCGTGAATTATCAGTCACTGAATGCCTGCAGTATATGGTATGATCCTGATGAATGAACAATACTTCTTCAGCATTTGTTAATCTCTGTTAATGTTAATTTCAACATTTACTAATACTTTATTAAAATCTTGTTCACATTAGTTAATGCACTGTGAACTAACATGAACAAACAATGAACAGCTGGCTTTGTATTAACTAACGTTAACAAATATTAACAAATAGGTTACAGTAACATTGCTTCATGTTAGTTAATCAACGCATTCTCACCCCAAGGCGTCACCTTTGACCATGCTTCAATATGGGCGATCCTACGGCGTCATCTAACTGACGCTAAAGGAAAAGCGTCATTTCGATGACGCGGGTAGATTTAGGTCTGGGGGTAGGGGTAGAGTTACACGCGATCCTATGGCGTCATAACTGACACTAAAGGGCGCCTAAAGCGTCAGATATTGAAGCATGGTCAAATGCTTCCCAAGGTGTCAGTTAGGTGACGCCTTGGGGGTGAGAATGGGATGAGTTAATGCATTAACTAATATTTAATAAATTAACCTCATTGTAAAGTGTTACCAAGTGAACAAATGTATATAAATGAATGTTAACCTAAAACAAATGCTGTTAAAAAACATGAATTGTTTGTTCATAAGAGCATGAACTATGTTAACAAATAAAACGGTACTGTAAAATATTGCCACGAGGACTGATTTATTTATTTCATAGAATTTTCATTCTTGGGTAAGAAGCTTTGGGGTTCTTGTGAACTGTTTAGAAGTCTGTGTGGTAGTCTTTCAGGTAACACTTTAAAATAATGGTCTGTAGTTAACAAGTAGCTATGCAGGAAGTAATAGGTAGTACTGCATTAACACCAAAGTTAATACTATTAACTAATATGGAAGCAATATTAACTAAGCATTAAGTAATAGGTAATTTAGTACAAAGGTAGTTCCTTGGTAGGTATTTGATTATTACTAAAGAAATATATCCTCATTGAGAACTACTTGTGAACTAAGAAATAATAACCGATTAATTACTAATCACAAAAGTAACATGTCTAAAAAGTGAACAATTGTGGAGGTTTTACTCTTAACATGGTCATAACATTTCAGAAGCATTTGCCTCAAATGGGTTCTTTGTGGAAACCAGTTTATGAAGTTTATATATCCTCCCAAATACATTAGCTAGGTTGAGATTGTGATCACTACTCTTGCCAGGATGGACGCATGTTCTCTGTTTGTTTAAAACTTAAACATAAAATAATACTAATAATGACAGTTTTTAAAAATAAACCTTAAATAATTAGGAAGTGATGCTGACACTCTCATGATTGGATTAGTTCACTATTATGAGCTCTATTGAATGTCAGTCACATATATCTCAGACTCCAAAGACCTATAACTTTATGTTACAGTAGCTGCCTGAGGAGGACTTCTCTTTAGGACATGAATATAAACATTGATGTTCACTTGTCAAAAACAATTAGCATCTTTAATGAAGAAATTGGCTGCATTTATGTTACGATAAGCGCAAAACCACATCTTCCAGATTACAGTGTTTGTTAGAATATCAGTGCCTCACAGAACCTGTACAGTATGTGTCAAATATAAAATTAAATTACTTGTATCATTTGTGAAATGAAAACAAACGGTATTTATATCGTTTTTACCTTGTGTAATCGCAGTGACGTCCAAGTACTCTGAGGGCGAGGCCGCTTCTATCTGCGCAAGCGTGCCAGAAAGCCCCGGAAGTGATCTCTCGCGCATGTGCGTCACTCATTGTTTACACAGATTTCGGAAGTTTTACCTTTCACTGTGAAGATCTAAATATCGAAATCGTCTTCCATTGCGATTTCCTGTACATCTAAATATGTTTAGATCTTCACAGTGAAAAGTTAAACTTCTAAAATCTGTGTAAACAATGTGTGTACATGCACAAGAGATCACTTCCGGGACTTGTGCAGACCAAAGCGCCCGTGCCGTCAGATCAGTTGGATACGGCTGTGGTTACAAGAGGTAAAAACGATATAAATACTGTTCGTTTTCTCACACAAACCACTCGTTTCATGTCTTAGGCCATCAATGTGTACTGCCATTTATGAGTCATTGAATCTAGTTTAATTTGGACTTCTCTGTGCATGCTCTTTGAAGTGGTGACCATACACCTCCATTATATGACTGACAAGACAGGAACGGTTTGACCTAAAAATATATCAAAATGGAAAATACTGTGGAAACAAAGACACCTACATCTTGGATGCCATTGAGGTAAGCTAAAACATATCAAAAATTAATTTCAAAGTGAACTATCCCTTTAATGAACTTGTACGCTCATATTTTTGATACAGTTGCTGCAGTGATTTGGTGTGAAACGCATTTATACACCAGCATCAAGAAATGTGAAGTCGTGGAGAAATTTATGAACAACTGTAAATCAATATGTGAATTCATCCAATGAGAGTTGCAACCTTGAAGAATATTTCTTGTATATGTATACTGCTCATTTTAGTTCACACAATCATTTCTCAGCAAGTTTAATGGATTATTTAAAAAAGAAAAAGAAAAATGTAGTTTCAGCGTGAACTTAAAATACAATTGTGCATTTCATTTCATAAACGTATATGTGACCTGATCCAGCAAAATGAGTCACATTGACCCAAATTTAAAAATTGAGATTTTGATATTAATGGAAAGAGAACACTGTAAGCTTTCAAATGATACCTTGGTCAAAGTCATACCTTGAATGGTTGTAAAGATATACACATTTGAATTCTGGTTGTCTGCCCTTTTTTTCCAACTGAAAACCTGAGAAAATCACTTTTAAAGTTTTTTTGCCCTTTTTTTGATATAGCTTTCAAAATCCATAGAATTTTAAGGGATAAACTATTTATTTTATATAGCTTAACTTGACCAAATAGATTAACATATATAATTGCAATTTAACAAGGCTGAAGCTCAACTTATTTTTAAGTTTTTTTTGAATAAATAATTAAAAAGTCACTTTTACAAAAATGTTCTAAAATCAGAAAGATTAAGAGGAGTCAGAGAGAAATTCAGTTTTCATACGGATTAGCCCAAATAAGCAGAGAGCAGTCTGTTTTCTTTCGTTTTGAATGGTTGTGTTTAAAAGTAGACCGGTCTTTGAGGCTAGGATAGCTTACTTTCGGTTCATGAGACTTCGGTTCAAGCTTCAGTTCACGTGCCGCGCGTCTCCGCGTCGTGATTAGGCCTAGCCTATCCATTGTCTGCAATTTATTTCTTATTATTAAATACTAGTAATT